GTAACTCGTTCAATATTGGTAGTGAGTTCGTCAGGGTCTAAACGACGTCGCATGCCTCGTATTGTTTACTCACGACATCGCATTGGTCGCAAAGCGACCGCGCGACGTCGCAATCTTCGCACGCGTCCGGACCACCGTCTGGACTTTCAGCCATTTTGTAAGGAATTTTTCGAATTCCTTATTGGGGTTGACTGCTTCGCGTACAACCCGATTTTCGGACTTTGCACGTTCGGCCGATTTCAACGCTGCCGAGGCTCCTCGCGCCGCCTTTGGCATTTCCCATCGCCGAACCTGCGCCCAACCTCGCTCGTCCGAGGTTCCCTCCTAGCTAGGCTAGCCCTACATTAGTCTGTGCATTCATTGTATTCTCAGTTGATTCAGCCACAGCCTCGTTATTCGTTTACCTGCGCACTCTCTTTTACAACTCATAACACTGTTGAAATGAACAGGCAGGAATGATTGAACTAGCAGTGAAAATGAGTACAAGTACCTAACCCTAGAATTGTGTACCCCCTAAAGGCTAACCCACTGTAGCCTAAACAACCACAACATATATAATGTTTGACACACCCCCATAGGCAAAGTGGGGGAGAACAAGGGGTCACAAGACCAGTCAGAGCAAAGCAAAGCACAAGCAAGCTCAGGGTGGATCTCAAGGAATACCACATAAATTCCGAGCACAAGCAAGTGGTCACAAGACCAGTTCACATGCAGTTTGATAATATAACAAGAGGTACAGTGATCACAACCTAGCAAGTGAAAGCATGCAGGTATATATATAGAGATCACAGTACAAGCAAAGTCAAGAAGTAAGCAAGTGAGGTCCAGTAGGCACAAGGCCTAGAAGAGTACAGAAGCGCTGATGGTCACAAGGCTGAAGCGCCTTGGTGAACACGTCAGCAGTGTTGGCCTGAGTGGCCACGTAACGCAGACAAAGCTGACCACGCTGCTGCAGCTCACGAGCCAGAAAGTACCGCAGAGCGATGTGCTTCGTTCTGTGCTCCAGTCTGTGCTCCTCACACAAGGCAATGGCAGCCTTGTTGTCGACGTACAGCACTGGAGGAGAACGAGGCCTCTCTCCCAAGTCGGTCAGCAGGTAGGTGAGCCAGCGTAGCTCCTGGGCTGCCATGGCTGTGGCGTAGATCTCAGCCTCACAACTGGAGCTGAGAACTGAAGAAGAACGTCTAGAATGCCAAGAATCTGAACCAGAGCCAAGGCTGAAGGTGTAACCCTGAGACGACCGCTGAGTGGCCTGGTCGTCCGCCCAAGAAGCGTCTGAGTGCCCAGTGAGAACAACTCGGTCTCGCCCTCCAAGCACTAGCCCCATGCCCGACGTACTGCACAAGTAGCGCAACACCCTCTTAGCGGCATCCATGTGCTCCTTCCGGTGACGGCCAGGAGCGACATAGCGTGCAAGGATGCTAAGAGGGTATGCAAGGTCAGGTCGAGTGCAGGTCATCAGGTACATGAGGCAGCCCACAAGCTCTGGATACGGGCCACTCGGCTCTACGGACTCATCCGAAGGCAGAGCTGAGAGCGAGTGACCGGTAGGCAGAGGAGTGGACTGAGGCGAGGAGTACGTGAAGCCGAAGCGCTGAAGGACCTGCTGCACCATGTGTGACTGAATCAAGGTAATGGTGCGCCGTGCTCTGTCCCGGGTGATCCGCAAGCCAAGGTAGCTTGTCAGTTCACCCAGGTCTGTGCACGTGTGTCTCTTCTGCAGCTCCGACTTCACGTGGGCGAGAGCCTGAGTGTCAGCAGTGGCAAAGACCAAGTCGTCGACGTACACGAGGATGTAGAACGGCGGCAGCGAAGTGTCTGTGCGCAGAAACAGCGACGGGTCAGCAGTAGAAGGCGCGAACCCAAGTGCCGCAAGTGTCGTCCTCAGTGTGTCGTGCCACTCACGTGGTGCCTGGCGGAGACCGTAGACCGGCCGCCGGAGGCTCCACTGGGTGCCAGGAGGAAAAGTCCCAGTGAAGCCAGGAGGGCGGCGCAGCCAGATCTCCTCGTGCAGGCTACCCTGCAAGAAAGCAGTGCTGAAGTCAAGAGAGTGAAGCTCATAGTCGCGCTGAGCGGCTATGTGCAGCAACACCCGAAGAGTGGTCATCTTCGGGGTGGGGGAGAAGGTCTGGAAGAAGTCGACTCCCTCACGCTGACTGAAGCCTCGAGCAACGTAACGCGCCTTGAAGACAGGCGGAGAACCCGGCGGCCGCTTCACCCTGAAAATCCACATGCCACTGACGATGTTCGCCCTAGGTGGGGGAACTGCGTCGACGTAGGTGCCTGTGGACTTCCAGGAAGCCATCTCTGCGTCCATGGCTGTCTGCCACTGAGAGGAGTAGGGACCCGCTATCGCCTCTGCGTAAGAGCGCGGGGTCGGGATGTCTGGTGCATCCGGGTCTCCCTCAGGGGCAACTAGCATGGACACGAGATGAGGCAAAGCAGCAGCAAAGCACTGGAACTCCTCCTGCCTGTCCTCAAGGACGTCCGTGCCAAGAGCACACTCACCCCCGACGGACGGAGGACAGGCAGACTCAGACGCAGCAACTAGGCTAGCGGCGTAGTCGAGACGACAAGCGGCAGCAAAGTCAACTAACTCAGCGACAAGAGCAGACGCAGCAGAGGACTCAAAGGTAGGGTCAGTGACAACAGTAGCGAGGAGACGCGTGACAGTAGGACGAGCAGCACGAAGGGAGTCAGACTCCGGGTCAGGAAGGGTAGGAAGAGAGGACTCAGGAGGAGACGGCAGAGGGACGCGCTGAGGAGCAGTGGAGGGACGCAGAGTCATGTAGTGAGTGCCAGGGACAGGAGGAGGACGCTCACGCGGGACACGACGACCAGTGCGAGCAGCACGAACAGGCGACGCAGAGCGAGACGCAGGCGACACAGGACACGACTCAGGCTCACGACGCTCCGTAAGACCTCCTGTGGGACCAGTGTAAGGAGAAGGACCAGGGAGCGGCAAGGCAGGCGGTAACAGGGACGGCGACTGGACAGGCGGAGGACACGCTAAGGAGGGAGCAGGACAAGGAGGAGGAGGCTGACCAAGAACCTGCTGAAGGAGCGGAACGAAGTACGGCCGGGGCCGCGCAGCGCCACCAGCAGCAGCTCCAACGTCAGGGTCCGCAGCACCAGCAGCAGCTCCAACTCCAGGGTCCGCAGCACCAGCAGCAGCTCCAACGTCAGGGTCCGCAGCACCAGCAGCAGCTCCAACTCCAGGGTCCGCAGCACCAGCAGCAGCTCCAACGTCAGGGTCCGCAGCACCAGCAGCAGCTCCAACTCCAGGGTCCGCAGCACCAGCAGTAGCTCCAACTCCAGGGTCCGCAGCACCAGCAGCAGCTCCAACTCCAGGGTCCGCAGCACCAGCAGCAGCTCCAACTCCAGGGTCCGCAGCACCAGCAGCACCAGGAGAGCCTCCAGCACCAGCAGCAGCACCTCCAGCACCAAGGTCCGTGACACCAGGCGCGCCACTCCGGAGAGTGCAGCGCCGCTCGTACCACTCACGGATCCGCTCAAGAGAGGGCAGCTCCCGCTGAGGAGGGGAGGCACCAGCACCAGTCCCAGTAGTACTCCTGGCTCCAGAGGCACCTCTCCTGAGGCTGCAGTACTCTGAGTACCACTCACGCAGCTGCTCCGAGGAGAGAGCTCCCCCAAGTGTAGGACTCCCAGGCTCAGCACCCCCAGACTCAGAACCCCCAGGCTCAGCACTCCCAGGCTCAGCACCCCCAGGCGCAGCACCCCCAGGCTCAGCACCCTCAGACTCCGCACCCCCAGTCTCCACACCCCCAGGCTCAGCACCCCCAGACTCCGCACCCCCAGGTCCCGCACCTGCAGCAGGGCGGGAGTCAACAGCTACCTCAACAGGCTCAACCGGGTCTACCTGGGACACACCTGAGGGAGCGGCACCCTGAGGGGGGAGGGGGTCTACCACAGCAGCACCTGGTGCGAGGAAGAGAGGCGGGGGGGGGAGCGGGGCAGTGCGGTAGGGGAAGAGGCGGTAGTAGGGGACGGACTCGTCAAAAGTGACGTCCTGAGAGGGGAGGACCCGGCGCGAGGTGGCGTGGTAAAACTGCCAACCCTGAACCCTGGGAAGACCAGAGACAAGGTACCGGGAGTGCATGGCACGAAGGCGCTGCACAGACGGGTGACCAAGTCGGTGGTGCCAGAGGACAGTCTCGTGCGCCAGAGAGCGACACGAGCAGGGGGCGGACAGCTGACCTGACGCAGACGCAGACGCAGACGCAGCGACCTGAGGGGACTCAGTGGTCAGTGTGTACAGGTCCGACCCCGGCTGCCTAGTGAAGGTAGCCAAGTGGCGGCCCGTACGAGCACACGTGCAGTGTGTCACGCGCTCGTAGGCAGGGGTGAACTGGTGAACACCCGCGTCCTGGAGCGCACACCCTGCCACCAGGTTCGTAGAGAACGAGGGGAGGTGGAGACCGGACAGTGTGCCTGACGGGACCGCAGGACAGGGAAGGACAGTGGAGGAGGTCGCAACGACCGGGCCCCCAGAGGGGTCAGCGAGGGAGACAGCAACTGGCCGAGCAAGTGGCTCAAGGACAGTGCGGTCACGAAAGAAACAGCGAGAAGCACCTGAGTCCAGTGTGAAGGTGTGTAGTGCCTCAGTCGACTCAGTACCAGGGGGCGCAGACGCACAAGCACCTAGAGCAGCAGCCGCACCAGCACCTGGGGTAGCAGACACGCGAGTACCTGAAGCGGCAGACGCACTAGCCCTAATGCCCGGGTCGGGCGGAACACACAGGTACTCAGCACCCTCTCCACTAGTAGACATCACATACATGGCAGTGAGAATAGCATCAAAGTCTAGAGCATAGATATCAATCCCCTTCTTCAGGAGATCAATCCAGCGGGGCAGCTCAGAGGCCTGAGGATACTGAACACGCCAAGCGTCGTTGAGGCGAGCGAAGCAGCGCTGCGTGGCGTGCGGTCCCCCACACGGCTGACCAGCGCGGTCACCAGTGCGAATGACGTACGTGCAGCTAAAGCCACCCGCCCCCCCCCCCCCCCCCGTGCTGAGCGTACCACTCACGGACCTCCTGGGGCGACGGAGTCGGCTGCTGGCTCGGACCGCCAGCGCCTCCACGACCACCACCTCCGCCCCCACCTCCTCGACCACCCCAACCCCTGCCGCCGCCGCGTCCACCGCCACCCCCACCACCGCCCCCTCCCCTGCCACCTCCCCCGCCGCTGCCGCCACCACCTCCACCGCCGCCACTCGCCCCTCCAGCCCCGCCACCACCCCCACCGCCGCCACCGCCCCCACCACCTCCTCCCCCACCGTCACCTCCGCCTCCCTTGCCCCCTTTGCCCTTGCCGCTGCGGCGTCCGCTCGAAGTAGACGCAGTCCCGACCTTCTCAGCACCAAGGAGGTCGACAGCAGCAGCAGAGGCGACAGAGGGAAGAAGGGGGGAAGGAGAACACCCCTCAAAGAACGGGGTGCGGGGGTCGCCACGAGAGGCACCTACAGCGACTATGCTAGCCTCAGCTGCAAGCAGTTCCTTCTCGAGGAGGGCAATGGTGAGCTCAGTAGGGCAGCGAGCTAGGAAGGAATCCCTGACTGCACGCAGAGAGTCAGGGAGGCGGGTGACTAGGTGGTAGAGAGTGAGCCAGAGCGGAGGAGGGTTCTTGGCAAGGAACTTGGCGGGCATGGCAGCACGGAAGCGGGCCTCACTAGTACGGAGGTGCGTGATGAGGTCAGCAACTGTGTGAAAAGAGGACAAGTCTGGGAAGAGGTAGGGAAGCGAGAGACGGCCTAGTGCGGCAGAGGCAGGTGAGGAGTAGCGGGCAACGACAGCTTTGTACAGGTCCTGTGCAGTCTTGTGCTGGCCAAAGTGCTCGCGTTCATCTATCGGCAGGGAGTTGCGAATAGCAAAGCGAGCGTGGGCGTCACGAGTCTGCCACTGTGAGCGGGTAGAGCTGTCAGCAGTAGGAGTAGGTGCAGGGGCATGGCCTAGGGCGTGATCGTACAGTGAGATGTCCTCCTTGGCAGTGAGCTGTAGGAAAAGGTGCAGATCATCTAGCCAGGTGTCAAATTTCACTGGACGTCCCTCAGTGTCAAAAGCTAGCACAGGAGGGCTAGCCATAGTAGCAGTAGGAGCAGCAGTAGCAGTAGGTGCACCCTAACAGTAGTAGGCAGCGCGACTCAGGTAGGGCGGCTCGGTTTGGGGAGGCCGGTAAGGGCGGGCGGCGCGGCTCGGTTCAGGTAGGGCGGCGCGGCTCGGTTAGGGCGGCGCGGCTCGGTGGGGGCTGCGCTGCTCGGTTCGGGCGGCCTGGGTTTGGCGGGGCCGGCGCGGTCGCGTGCGGGGCAGTTAGGGGTAGCGGGTGGGGTCGACGGGGCCCCTAAAGGGCGGCACGCGGGGCCGACGGGGCCATAGGGGGGCCTCTAGGGGCGGCGCGCGGGGCCGACGGGGCCTCTAGTGGGCTGCGACGGGGCCGTAAGGGGCCTCTAGGGGCGAGCGCGGGGCCGTAAGGGGCCGATAGGGGGCGAACGCGGGGCCGACGGGGTCGCTAAGGGGCGGCGCGCGGGTCGCTAAGGGGCGGGTCGCGGGTCGCGGGGCCTTAGGGGGCCGTGAAAAACGAGGCGCCCTAGGGCGCAGGTAGGTAGGTAGGTAGGTAGGTAGGTAGGTAGGTAGGTGGGCCCTAAAAAAAACGGTCCTAGCGAAGGACCTGCTCTGAAACCATGTTGAAATGAACAGGCAGGATTGATTGAACTAGCAGTGAAAATGAGTACAAGTACCTAACCCTAGAATTGTGTACCCCCTAAAGGCTAACCCACTGTAGCCTAAACAACCACAACATATATAAACACCTGGTATCAGAGCTACTTTCCTAGTTCACCCCGCTTTTCGAGGGTAGTTTGGTGGCACGGGTGTGGTTGGTTTAGTGACTACACGACGGTTGGCTGCAGGGATTGTTAATTCAATCCTGCCCGACTCCGATAGTTCGTGTTTTCACTTGCCTGGAGGCCACGGGTACCCGACTGCCTACTAGACGTAGTGCTAGGCACATGGATCAGGAGGCTGTTAACAGGTTGATGGCGCAAGTGGCAGAAATGAAGCAGAGCATGGAGTCATTAATGGCGGAAGTGACAACACTGCGTGAAGAAAACGCCGAGCTACGCCAGACGCGAGGTGAAGCGCGTCAGGAGTCGCCCGTCGAAGAAGGCAAGGGCAACAGTCAGGCGATGAGCAATCCGCTGGATGCGCTCACACGTGACTTCGAAGAAGAAGATAGGCAGCGAGCGGCAGCAGCGCCAGTTGCAGTAACGACGATCAAGATCAAGCCCGCCAACCCACCCCCGTTTAATCCTACGGACAAGACGACTACAGTGAAAGGATGGATGTTCGGTGTCGAGGTCTTCTTCACGGCAGCAGGCGTTAACGACGATGCCACATGTATTAATTACGCGGTTTCGCTTCTTCGAGGTGCAGCGCTTGAATGGTGGCGCCGGACCTTGGAAACGGGGACGACGACAGGTGTGACACATGCGCCAGACGGGACCTCTACAGTGGTTAATCGAGTGGCAGAACCAATCTTCGGTGTGACCAAGATACGCACGTGGAAGGAGTGGGGCGCAGCCTTACGAGATCGCTTCGAGCACATACCCGCCTCGGAGCAAGCTCGTATGAAGCTGCGTGCATGGTCGCAGATGGCTTCTGTCCAAGACTACACGGCGTCATTTATGGCCTTCACCGACCAAGTTGACGATATGGCGGAAGCAGAGCGGTTGGATAAGTACATCAGCGGCCTCAAATACGAGATACAGTACGAGGTCCGAAGGGGCCGCTCGGCATCGTTTCTTGAAGCAGTACGGCTGGCGGAGTCCACAGATGCGCTGATGCAGTACGCGAGAGCAGCTTCCAGGGATGGAAACCGCTTTCGTGGCCAGACCCATCGGGCCACGATCAACGCCGTCCATACACCCGACCGCCCTCCTAAGGGTCCGTGTCTTCGGTGTGGGAAGGTGGGTCACTACAAGAAAGACTGCCGGGAGAAAATGCCGCTGACAGGGGACGACAGGAAGGAGCAGGGAAATGGGAAGAGTCAGTAATCAGTGGGCCCTTTACTGACTCTGCTCCGTCGCCCGAACACCATCATCCCCACCGAGTCGTGGTTCCGATTCATGCAATCGATCGCACTCGGCCGAATAACGGGGATAATCATGTGGATCACCCTGTGCTGGTCGCTGGCAAGGTGTTAAAAAATAATTTAAAAATGTTCGTCGATGGGGGTGGCAACCATAGCCTCTTCGATGGGGGCGAGCGCAAAAAGATGCAAGCTGCAACTCGCCAGGTGTCTGCCCGAAATTGACGCCCGCCTCGTGGATGGGACGCCTCTGGCGATAACGGAAGAAACACGGACGGTCAGGATCGAATGCGGCGACGATTTCGGCTTCAGCATGAAGTTTCTCGCGACGACTCTTGACGGCTGCGATGTGCTGCTTGGACGTGATTGGCTGCGACGACACAACCCCGTCATCGACTGGACCACCGGATCATGCTGCGTCAGCAAGCACGGAGGGCTCGTTAAACTGCCTTCATGGACACCTGACTACATCCAAGCCCCGTGCATCAAAGCTATCACTATAGCTCGCCACTTCAACAAGGGCGCGCAGCTGTTCGATGTCTGCTTACGCGAGTTGGCAGCCGACACCGACGGAAAGGACATCGAGAAGCTGTGTGCAGATGTGCCTCCGGATTTAGCGGAACTAATTCGACAGTACCCCGACATTTTCCCGGACGATCTGCCACCTGGGCTGCCACCCGAGAGACCCGAGGACCACAAAATCCAGCTGGAACCTGGCGCGCAACCAACTGTTCGGACACAGTGGCGGTTGACCCAGCCGGAACTCGAGGAGCTGCGCCGACAAATTGACGCACTGTTGGAGAAAGGGTTCATTAGGCCAAGTACCTCCCCGTTCGCGGCACCGATCCTGTTCACTCCGAAGAAGGACGGCGGGCTTCGCATGTGCATCGACTATCGCGCGTTGAACCGGGTGACCATCAAGTCTCGCTACCCAATCCCACGCACCGACGACCTCCTCGACCAACTTCGCGGCGCTCGCTATTTCTCCAAGATCGACTTGCGTGGCGGTTACCACCAGATTTGAGTCTTCGCCGACGATTGTCACAAAACTGCATTTCGCATATGCTACGGGAGTTACGAATTTACAGTGATGCCTTTCGGCCTCACGAACGCGCCTTCGACATTCCAACTGACCATGAACAGGGTTTTTCGGGATCTTCTAGACCGATGTGTCATCGTCTACTTGGACGATATCCTCATTTTTAGCAAGACGTGGGAGCAACATCTCCGCGACCTGGACGCAGTGTTTAAACGGTTACAGGCGAACCATCTCATCATCCAGGGTTCCAAGTTCGGGTTTTTTAAGTAGGAGTTGGAGTTTTTGGGCCACGTCATTTCCCGCGACGGCATTACTATCGACCCGGCGAAAATCAAGACTATACAGGAGTGGAAGTCCCCGACGAATGTCACGGAACTTCTGAGTTTTCTGGGGTTCGTGAATTATGTCCGGCGGTTTATTCCGAACATGGCGGGGATAACCGGCCCGCTGACCGACCTGCTGCACAAGGACAAGAATTTCGTGTGGGGGGAGGCGCCTTTCCAGGAGCTCAAGAATTTTCTCGTTTCCCCTCCTGTGCTGCGCATCGCCGACCCATCGAAGCCGTTCGAAGTCGTCACCGACGCCTCAGATTTCGCCATTGGAGCAGTGCTACTCCAAGATTTCGAGAACGGGCTGCAGCCGATCACCTACGAATCACGCAAGCTGCAGGCAGCCGAGCGCAACTACCCGATCCATGACAAGGAGATGCTCGCCATTATCCACGCGTTCAAACTGTGGCGCTGCTACTTGGTGGGCGCCGACGTCACTGTGCGCACGGACCACAAGTCCCTACAGTACCTGCGAGCCCAGCCCAACCTCAACCCGCGACAAATTCGGTGGCTGGACTACATGGAGAGCCACTTCACCTACCGCATCACGTACAAGAAAGGGGCGAATAACATCGCCGATGCCCTAACCAGACCGACAGTAGAATCCGCTGCAGTACTCATCACTCATTCGAACCCATTACTTGCCGGACTATTCACCCACGACTACACTACGGACCCGTTCTTCACGACCGGGAATCACCAGCAGGCCACGACTCAGAAAGGGGATTGTTACCTAAAAGCTGGAACCGACCGGATTTGGGTTCCCGCTTACCGGCTGCTGCGTGAACTCCTTATCCAAGAGGTCCACGATTCAAACTTCTCCGGACACTCGGGGTTGACAAAACCCAGAAATTACTGCACCGTCAATATTACTGGCCCGATTCCTCTAACGACGTGCAGCGTTATGTGTCCTCATGCAGAGTGTGCGAAGCCATGAAATCGACACGACAACGACCAACTGGGCTACTCCAACCCCTCGAGCCACCCGAACGACCGTGGCAGCAAGTGACGATGGATTTCGACACGACAACGACCAGCTGTTCTCGTCGTCGTCGATCGCTTCACGAGAATGGCACACTTCGCTCCATGCCGAACGACAATCACAGCCGAAGAAACTGCGCGCCTCTTCATCTCAACGGTCGTGCGACTGCACGGCATCCCTTCGGCGATCATCAGCGATCGAGACCCGAAGTTTACATCGAAATTCTGGAAGGAGACGTGGGCGCAGTACGGCACGAAGCTACAGTTCTTGTCAGCATATCACCCACAAACGGACGGCCAAACCGAGCGGACCAATCAGACCATGGAGCAGCTGATCAGGACAAACTGCCCCGACCCCGCACGATGGGAAGATTCCCTCGCCATGTTGGAGTTCGCCTTCAACAACGCACCGTCAAGCACGACTAATCACTCCCCGTTTTTTCTGAACTACGGGATGGATCCGACGGTACCCACAGCAACTTCTCTCGACAACCCCGTCCCGAGATCACAAACTTGTGGGACGGAACTTCAAAGCATCCGAGAAAAAGCCGCAGACGCAATTCGAAAGGCGAATATTACTTCCCGCAAATACACCGACCTTCTACGCCGGGAACTCGTCTTGACCACTGGGCAACTAGTGCTACTCGACACGAAGAACCTCAATCTGCCCGGCCCGTCGAAACTACGGCCACGATTTTGCGGACCCTTCAAAATTATCGAGATGGTGACACATGTCACCGGGAAGCTGTTGCTACCAGACGACTGGCGCATTCATGACGCGTTCCACGTCAGCCTACTTCGCAAGTTCGTGCCAGCGACGACCAGCATTGCACGTCAGCAAGCTGCACCGATGGGACGACCTGTCCCGGAGCCGACTCTTGACCCTTGGAAAATTCCCGCACATCGGGTTTGCCTCGACGCAGCTGGTCGACACGTGGATTTCTTAATCCGTTGGACAGATCGCACCAGTGAGGACGACACGTGGGTGCCATCCGCCTCGCTCGCCGCCTCACCACTTATTGGTGATTATCTGACGCGCAAGCGTGTTTCGGATATTGACCGCCTTTCGTAGGGGGGGGGGGGGGGGGGGGGGGGGGGGGGGGGGTGTAAGGAATTTTTCGAATTCCTTATCGGGGTTGACTGCTTCGCGTACAACCCGATTTTCGGACTTTGCACGTTCGGCCGATTTCAACGCTGCCGAGGCTCCTCGCGTCGCCTTCGGCATTTCCCATCGCCAAACCTTCGCCCAACCTCGCTCGTCCGACCGAGGTTCCCTCCTAGCTAGGCTAGCCCTACATTAGTCTGTGCATTCATTGTATTCTCGGTTGATTTAGCAACAGCCTCGTTATTCGTTTACCTGCGCACTCTCTTTTACAACTCGTAGCAGATTTCGAAAAGTGTAACACGGCCTTAGCTAGCACTCTTTTGATCTCGGCTTCTATCCTCGTGTTTGGAATGTAGGAGAGGTGGGTGGGAACGAGGAGGCCCGATCCGAGTGAAGGACCGGTGGGAGGAGTACAGTACGAGATGTCTATGCGCAACGACGCTACTCTGCACTCGTTATTGAAACGTGCACATAGTTTATAACGTAACGTGAGTGTAGGGGTATCTTACGATATTAATTTCAAGACTGCACAGAGGCAAGTGCCAAGCGATTTTGGATGTTTGCGCATGTATTCCAAACAACATCAGAATAATTATTTGTCTTGACAATAATTCCAGCAACAACAGTATTCATGCTAAAATATGTTTAGAAACTAAATCCATCAAACTGCCATGCACATTCCATCCCCTTGTTACAAGAAGCCCGTACCATACTCCCTACAGCACCTTGGCCTCGTTCTTGAGCTTATCCAACAGCTCCTCCACACTCCCTAGAATGCGTCCCCCCACGCGTGCAGGCGGCTCCCTCACCCCCACAACCTGCACTCTGCGTGTGGCCGGGTCTGCGAGGTCAAGGCCTAGGTCTGAAGGGGCAAGGATGCTGATGGGTTTCTTCTTTGCCTTCATGATGTTGGGGAGTGTGGCGTACCGAGGCTCGTTCAGCCGTAGATCGGTGCTGGAGGTGGGGCAGAGTGGGAAAGGGGGGAGGAAGAAGGCAGCAACACGTGAGAAGGGGTGCGAGGATGCTGATGGGTTTCATCCTTGCCTTCATAATTTTGGGGAGTGTGCGTAGCGTGGCTCGTTCAGCCGTGGCGACTCACTTCCTTGTTTGCCTTGCTGCCATTGGGCCTGGCTGACAGCCAAGGCTGTGCACACGAACCAATGACAAACCACGACATAACGAACCACTACAAAATGAACCACTACAACATGAACCACGACAACATGAACCACTACAAAATGAACCACTACAAAGTAAACCACTACAAAATGAACCACTACATCATGAACCACTACAACATGAACCACTACTAAACGAACCACTACAGGACGAACCTTTTCAGGGTGAACCAGCTTCTATCAAATCAATACAGGTGCTGGCAGGCAGGGCACCACTCACGTGATGACAGCTGGCAGCTTGAGGCTGACCGTCTCAAGTCCGTCGTCAATCTCCCTGGTGACCTGCGCACTGCGAGCTGCCGCATCCAACACCACCTGTAGGGGGGGGGGAGGAGGGGAAGGAGGGAAAGGAACAAGGGGATACGCAACAACAAGGGGGAAGGGGCAGGATATGGAAGGGAAGAGCAACCCTATTGGCATTCTCCCGTGTGACCTGAGCGCTGCGAATTGCCACATCCATCACCACCTATGCTGCTGTGGCCCGTGGGGCGGGAGGAGTGCACGAAGAGTATGTGAAGAAAATGCGTGAAGAGGGACAGCGTGAAGGGCAACAGCGTGAAGAGCGACAACCGCAGGCCCTGGAGAGCAGCAGAGTTGGGTAGCATACCTTGGAGGCGTCCAAAGAGGGAGCCCTGCTGGCGTACCTTGGAGGCGAAGGTGGCTTGAGGCCAGTCCAGCAGCGCCGCCAGCATCTGCCCTGTCTGGTTGCAGTCGTCGTCTATTGCCTGGATAGGTGGGGGGGGGAGAAGAAAAGAAGGGAGACAAGTGCGTTGAGAGGGATGGGATGAGTGGAGAGGAAGAGTGGGTGTAGAATGGGAGAGAGTAGCAGAGCCGCCGGCATCTGCCCCGTCTGGATGCAGTCGTCGTCTATTGCCTGTGAATGTTGGTGAGGGGAGGGGTAGAGAGCAAAGGGGGGAGAAGGGGATGTGAGTTGGTGCGGTGGGGAGGGAGGGGGAATAGGAGGAGTGCCGTCAGCATCTAGCCCGTCTTGTTGCAATCATCGTCTATAGCCTGGAACGGAGGGGGAAAGGGGAGCGTAGGGAAGGGAGGGGGGAGAACAGTGTCTATGACCCACCCCTTGAGCAGCAGCGCCAGCAGCAGCACTTAATGACTCCGCTTCTCATACCTAGTCTCCCAGGAAACACCTTCAATAAGGACAGCAACCCTTCTCAACTGTCCTCAGAATATGTTTCTGAGAATACCCTAACATTCCACAACATCATGTCCTCAGAGGACAGCAGCCCTTCTCAATTGTCCTCAGAGGATAGCAGCCCTTCCCAACGGTCCTTAGAGAACATCAGCCCTTCCCAATTGTCCTCAAAGAGAAGCAGCCCATAGAAACTGAAAGTGTTAGCCCACTGAGATTTGGATTGCAAAGACTGTGACCAGCTCACACCAGGGATGGCATTCACGAAGCTCCTCTACGCTAATCCCGAGACTTTGCCATACTCAATGGATGCTACCGAGGATCCACTCGTCAAGTTTCATGTGCTTGCCCATCAAAGCAGCAGGACTAAAGAGGGGGTGACATATTTGCTGCTTATGCGTTGCTGAAGGTTGAGTAAGCCTAGCTTGGGGAATTTGCTTCCAGGACGCGAGGGATCGTGTTAGGCGAGCATCGAAGAAAAAAGCTCTCACTTGAAAGTTCTTCAAAGCTCTCGCAAACAACCGTCCGAAATGAGTGCAGTTGCGACTTCCATCGCAATCCGTTTAAAGGCGTTGAAGAAACGCGAGATTTCTGTCTGGTCCGTCGAAAACAATAAGGTTTTCTCCCCGCCAGTGACAATAATATCGAACAAAAATACACATTTTGTAAGTTTCTAGCGAGTTGTGTTTTTTCAAGTATGCCCTTGTTAAGCAAGTACCTGATATCCGGAAACTCGTGTGACATGTTTCCGAATGTCACATGTTTCCAAGTCACACGAGTTTCCGAATGCCAGGTACTTGCTTGACAAGGGCATACTTGAAAAAACGCAACTCGCTAGAAACTTACCGAATGTGTATTTTTGTTCGATATTATTGTCACTAATGGGGAGAAAAAACCTGTTGTTTTCGACGGACCAGACAGAAGTCTCGCGTTTCTTCAACGACCTAAAATGGATTGCAACGGAAGTCACAACTGCACTCATTTCGGACGATTGTTTGCGAGAGCTTTGAAGGACCTTCAAGTAAGACCTTTCTTCGTCGATGTTCGCCTAACACAACCCCTCGCGTCCTGGAAGCAAATTCCCAAGCCAAGCTTACTCAACCTTCGGCAACACGTAAGCAGCAAAGATGTCACATCTTCTTTACACCTGCTGCGTTGATGGGCAAGCCCATGAAACTTGACGAGTGGATCCTTGGTAGCATCCATCGAGTATGGTAAGGTCTCGGGATCAGCGCAGAGGAGCTTCGTGAATGACATCCCTTGTGTGAGCTGGTCACAGTCCTTGGGATTAGGGCTGTCGATTCAAGGGCATCTGTCCTTAATGCCCTGAACATTCTGAGTAAACTCCTGGCCAGCTATATCATTTAAAGGGCTGGTTTCGAGGGGAGCCCGTTTTTCTTACGGGCTGATTTTGAGAAATTGGGGTTCCAACCCGGAATTTGTTAAGGGCTGGTTCGGGGTCTTTCCCTGATTTCCAAGATCAGGATACAAGTATCTCTAGAAGTTGCCCATGTTGCCTAACTCTTTCTTCCACTCTCATCATCCTCGTAGCTACCACACTCTATCTATTTATGTTTAGAAGGACTTTCGAGTGTTGACGTCATGGCTGTAGTTGCAGCATATTTTCAAGACATCTTACACTTCCTCACAGTTCTAATTACTCACAATGGACTCGTGACACTGAAGGGACTCAGCCCCATCGTCTCACACTAGTAGTGCTACATGAGAACATAACCACCTCGAAAGTGCTTTGTGATTGTACATATGGATTCAAACGATTTTTCTGCTGACGATGTCTTGCCTACGGCCCCCCTCTTCCCCAACCACCCTTCTTTCCTCCTTGCTGTAGGTGTGCTTTCGAGTCGTTTGTGTGCTCCTTCCCGCTGCTAAGTAATAGGTGACATCCAACTTTTTTACGTTAAGGCTCAAGTACATTTTTCCAAGAAGCTCGGACTTCAAGTTTTGAATTCGACCAACGCCCGTGATCGTTAAGGGCTAAAAAGCAGTCACCTTCGTCAAAATCAGGGCCAAAATTCGAGCAGCTCAGGACTCGAAGTGTTGGTCCCAGGGACTTTGACAGCCCTGCTTGGGATGCTCTGCCGCATCGGTGAACTTCTGAACTTCGGCATGCCAAATGTGCACAGTGCGCTGATGCGGAATCTATTTCCAAGAAAATTTGACCGGCATTAGGAGTATAAAATTCGAAGCCTGAATTACAGCTCCTTGGGAGATGTTAACACCTAGGGAGCCGAACCTCCGATTTGCGATTCTTCCAAACCTCAGTGGGCTAACACTTTCAGTCCCACCATCCAATAGCATCACACCAACATCACCAGCAAAAACAGCACATAGTGGCTTCACCCCCCCTCACCTGCTTGCCTAAGAACACCATATCAGCCGTCTCCTTAAGCGCAATCCCTTTGAGCAGCTTCGCCACCACCAGCGGCTCCAACGCCTCCTCCCTTGCGGCATCCACCTTCACCAGTACCGCCCTGTCTGCTCCCATTGCTAGAGCGGTTCTGCATACAACATAACACACGCAAGCAGGCGCAAGAGAAATTCAGCGACGCACACCACCTGCAATACACAAAGAGTGAGCAAAGGCAGAGGCAGAGGCTCCAACTTCTCCTCCTGTGCCGCGTCCACCTTCACCAGCACCTCCCTGTCCGCCCCCATTGCCAGTGCTGTTCTGGGGGGAGGAACAGAGACAATGGGGGAACAGGGCAGATGGTGAAGGTAGAGGAGTGACGGATAGGTCTCCAACGCCTCCTTTTGTCGCATCCACTTTCACCAGAACCAACCTGCCCGACTTGTGTTTACACACTTAAACCCGACTTGTGATAAACTTAACAACCATCCGGCACGCACCTGAGCGTGTCCTGCCACTGCTGCACGCCCAGGCTGACCGCCACCACCTCCTTGATCGCCCCCTTCTCCCTCAACCAATGTGTATCGACTCAATTGATTTGAACCATTCTCGTGAGAAGCATAAGAACCATCCAGTGGATGGCCACCTGAGCGTGTCTTGGCACTGCTGCTGCACGCCCGGGCTGACGGCCATCACCTCCTTGATCGCCCATTTCTCCCTCAACCGACTTGTGTTGGCTCATTTTAATACAGCTATTCTTGCGTTTAACTATAGAGCCATCCAGCATTGCTCTCACCTGAGCGTGTCCTGGCACTGCTGCACGCTAAGGCTGACGGCCACCGCCTCCTTCATCGCCCCCTTCTCCCTCAACCGACCGATTTGTGTTGACTCATCTTTTGAACCACTCTTGTACCTAGTTAGAACTTGTCCACCACTCACCTAAGCGTGTCCTGGCACTGCTGCACGCCCAGGCTAACAGCCACCACCTCCTTGATCGTCCCTTTCTCCCTCAACCGTATTGCCTCCTCCACTGCGATCTCACAGAAGGGGTTCATGGACATCTTGACGCTGGCTTTTTCAACTCCACTCTGATTGGACAAGGGAGGGGGAAAATGGAAGAGGAGCAGTGAGGCTAACCGTATCGCCTCCTCCTCTGCGATCTCACAGAAGGGATTCATTGACATCTTCACACTCGCCTTCTCCAATTTACTCTGATTGGGTACGGACGGGAAGACAGGCAGGCAGGCAGAAGCGCAGACACGGAGTGGAGGGAGAAGGAGGAGGGTTGAGCCTCATCGCCTCCTCCACTGCGATCTCACAGAAGGGATTCATTGACATCTCCACACTCGCCTTCGACACCCCACTCTGTTAGAAGACACGGAGGGGAAGGGGAAGGGGGGAAGAGGAATGAGGAGCAGTGAGCTGAGCCGTGTGGCCTCCTCCCCTGCAACCTCACACAAGGGGTTCATCCACATCTTCACACTCACCTTCTCCACCCCGGACTGGTGTAGGGAGGGAGGGGAGCGGAGGGGAGCGGAGGGGAGCGGAGGGGAGCGGAGGGGAGCGGAGGGGAGCGGAGGGGAGCGGAGGGGAGCGGAGGGGAGCGGAGGGTAGGGTAGGGGGAGGAAAGGGAAGAGGAGCAGTGAGGTCAACCAGACTGCCTCCTCCACTGCGGTCTCACAGAAGGGGTTCATCGACATCTTCACACTCGCCTTCTCCACTCCGGCCTAGTTGGAGAAGAAAAGAAGGGAAAGAGGGAAGGGGAGGGGATGGGAAGGGGAGGGAGAGGCGAGGGGAAGGGAAGGGGAAGGGGAGGAAAGGGAAGGAGGAGCAGTGAGGTGACTGTGTGGCCTCTTCCTTCATTGTGACCTCTTTACAGTCGACTCAAAAAACAATCGGACCTCTCTCTAATCCCATCCCCCCCATAATCTTATCCCCGCCATAATCCCATACCCGCAGCAATCCCATCCCCGTAGAATCACAGCTCCCACCCTCACTATAAGCTCACCCCGTCCGCCTTGTCGCGGATCTTGGCGGAATAGTCAATCACGCGCTGCTTCCCTACATTAACTCCATACCGGCTATGGTCCCGACCCTGCTATTAATCCTCCCCCCCACCCCCCATCCCCCCACCCCCCGCCCCCCCACCTCCTCCCCTCCCTGTTATTATCATATCCCCGCTATCCCATGCCTCGTTATAAGCTCACCCCGTCCGCCTTGACGCGGATCTTGGCGGCATAGTCGATCACGCGCTTCACGGCCACCAGCGCCCTCATGCTCGCTGACGATTACCGGCACACTTGACGGTCACCGGCACAATTGACGGCCAACGGTAGACTTGACGGCCGCCGGCAGACTTAACGGTCAACTGTGGACTTGACGTGCGAGGAACGCGACGCCTGCGAAGCTTTTTCACGCTCTACGCTCGCCGCTATCGGCGCCTCGAGATGCGGCGGAACAGGCCGTCGAAATACCACTAAGAAGAGAGCCAAGCGGCAGATTAAGTTCCTGCTCGAACCGCCTCCCTGACGTGTAACGTGATGAGTGGAGGAGAGACGGGACGGAAAGCGACCAGCGGAAACGCCACGTGGGTGAGCGGCTCACGGAAGGAGCACCCAGAAGCGGAGAGCGCGGCGGAGCGAGCGGAAAGCGCAGTCCGTGGGAGGGACGGCGGGGAGGAGAGCGGTTAATAGCGGGAGCTGCTGGGAGAGGCGCGGTGCGGACTCAACGAGTCTGACGGTGGACGGCTGGGCTGCGTTGCTCGCGATGGTCGGTTAGATGGGATGGGAGAGAGCAATTGGCGGCTCGACTACTTGCTCCTTCAACTCACTACTCGACGGGTCACTGGTCTGGGGGCTGGAGGCTGGAGCAGAACAGGTCCTACTAGGACCTCTAGTAGAGGTGTTGGTATGGTGCCTGCGTGGGGTGGAGTGGGGGGAAAGGGGAAGGGGGAGGGGGTGAGGAGCTGGTCACCAGAGCTGCATGTGGTGAAGCAATTAGACCGCTTCGGATTGCACAATAACGTGCACAACCGATTGCATTAAGCATTTGTGACCCATCTTGTGGGTATTTTGCAATGTTGGGTTGGGAAATCAGCGGCGGGGCCCCGAAGGAAACGGCTGCATGGGATGGGCTATTAGCGCGGACGTGTTGCTGCGTCAGCGCCGGGAAGTGCTGAGCTGTTATTACTTCGCCATAATGGTAGTCGAACTTAGGAGCATTGCTCAAACACTGAATTGCTAAATCGGTTAAATCTCGAGACATAAGTAGATTACGCCTGGTTTATTTTCCCGTATTTCTTCATTTCAAAATTAAAATTCAAAAAATATTTTGTTATGATGTTGTTATAACTGTCTCTACATCTAAAACCAAATTCAGGTGTCAGAAATGGTTGAATGCTGATTTAGATGCTGTGCTACATCGATAAACTATTGACGGACAGGCTCTATAACGGTTCCATACTATTGGCAGGCAAGCAACTTGGCAGGTGTTCTGCTTGCCCAACAGCTGCGACAGGCGGTTCGGCAGTGAGCAGTCCCACCCACAGCCATCTTGGTCTGACATGGTGCCAGCCAGCCAACATAGAGTAGCTGATTTTCCACCTGAACCACTGTATGGAGTTCGAGACGTGACCTAGGTACTGTACTGTACAGTACTTCGTGTCGTACAGTATTTGCTGCTCTGACTCTCATCACAAAACAACGGTACTGACGCTCCCTGACCCCTTTCTCAGTGCTGGCTGCTTGCGATTTGCATCTCACATTTCACGAAGCACGGACTTGCACCAATCAGCGGTAAGACTCGGCAGTTTCGTCTTGCATCTCAGGGGGCTGGTGGTGGTGAAATGTGAGTGGCATGGCAACGGATGCTGTCGCACTCACCGTGCTTATCCCAAGACTTAACCAAGTCAAACCAGCTCAAACCGACCTAAACTCCGCTCCCCGCCCTTAGCACGACCCCATTCCACCTGAAGCAAAACAAGCTTCCATTTCACAACCACCAGCCGGAAAAATAGCAGTTGCCTAGCGACCTAGTGTGAAAGAGTGTGGCTTATAGAGAAAGAGAGAGCGGTAAAGCAGTCTTGGTTATCAATAAGGAAAGAGAAAGGAAGAATCTTATTTGGTTCTCTGGGTGGAGTTGAGATTAAATTCGAAATGGCTGTCTTTCGAAAAGAGCGCGAGCAGGCGGCACGAGTTGTGCGGATGTGGCAGAAAATATCAACTCGGCTATTAGTTTGGTCGCTCGGAGCGCTGCTCCTCGCATCGCTGGCTCTTCCACTAACAGAGGTAAAGCCGAGTAGCCTCCAGCCATCCGTCAACTACGAGCGCACCTATCCGTGTCCCCTAATCCCTATTTTCCTTCGCAAGAATAACAGAGAGTATTCCCAAGCCATCCCCAACCTATACTACGCGCAGCTATCCGTGCCACTACTCCGTATTTTATCTCACGGGGGTAACGCCGAGTTGTGTCCAGCCATCCAACCATCTTTTTGGGAGATTTGCCTTAACAGTGCTGCACCGTTAATAGGCCCATATTCGTGGCTGCTCGTTCTATTTTTGCACGAGTGGGTGGAATCCCGACGCTCAAAAGACCGCGCGACTCGCCAGCTGCGTAGCGAGGTGGTAACTCCATTGCAAGCTCAGGAACTTCGCCACGATCTTCTTCGCCACGATCTTCTTCGCCACGATCTTCTCCGCCACGATCTTCTCCGCCACGATCTTCTCCGCCACGATCTTCTCCGCCACGATCTTCGCCGCCAAAAGGGCTCGTCCTCCTCTCTGCTAGTGAAACCGACACGCGCTTCTTTTTCGCTGCGCATCCAACGCTATGGTCGCAGCATCTCCATGGTCTCCGCCATAGCGGAGCGACCGCGAAGGGTCCGCGAAGAGACCACGACGGGACGGCGAACGGACGGCGAAGGGACCTGGAAGGGACTGCGAAAGGACTGGCAGTAGATGGACCCGTTAGCTCCCACGCCGCGCGTCATTGAGCAGCGGCGGTAACGCCTTGAGATTCTCCAATCCCGTTCATCCCTCTCCGCCTCCCCCCTCTCCGCACCCCCTCCCACTTTCCCCCCCAAACCCCCACTCCCATTCCCCCCCCTCTTCCTCTTCGCAGGCCGCCGACTCCGGCGCGGCTTCCGCCGGATCCACCGGCATTAGCAGCAGCAAGAGCAGCACGAGCAGCGGCACATCATAGTGCTTGATCATCCGTCCAACCCTCTGCCTACCCGTCTTTCCGAACCCCTCGCAGGCCGCCGTTTCCGCCGTGACTTCCGTGAAACCAACCGGCGTCACCGGCACGACCACCGGCGGCACAACCGGCACCGTCGCAGCTGGCGATAGCGGCGGCAGCGCGGACGGCGGCGATGCGGGAGATGACGTCATCAGCGGAAGCTACACCCCGCCGCCCAAGTGCCCCGCGGGGGATACGGCGTGCGCGGGAGCGATGGGGGCGGCGGCGGACCCCGACGCGCCGTCGGCCGTGGCGGCGTGCCCCACGGGGGAGCGGCGGTGCTCCAACGGCGCGTGCGTTAAGGTGTGATTCGTCACCATTTTGAGAGTGTTTCAACCCCCGCTTCCTGGAGGCGCAGACAACGGTCGGTCGGTCGGTCTGCGGTGCGGTCGGGCTCGATTCAATTGTGCGTCTCAAGGGCACAGGAGAACATGACGGAAGCGTTGGTAGGTAAAGGGACTTTTGAGGCGCCACGACAGCCGGCTAGTCCCGGTGCCACGACAGCAGCGGGCGCGCGCATCCCTCTCACTCTTCCCCCCTATTCCCCTCTATCTGCCCTCCGCTCCCCGCTCCCCCTTCCCTTCCTTCTCCCCTCCTCATCGCAGATCGGCATGCTCTGCACGCTCTCCCTGCAGTGCACGGCGGGGCAGTTCCGCTGCCACGACAGCAGCGGGTGCGTGCCGGACGACGCGGTGTGCGACGGCCAGGAGGACTGTAACGACGGGTCGGACGAGTCAGGCGACGACTGCGAGCTCATTAGCGGCTGTCTCGCGCAGGGACTGGTGAGTGGGGGTGGTGAGTGGATGTTGGTTGGTTTGGCAGGAGGGACACAGAGCAGAGACTCACAAATGGGTGCGTGCCGGATGAGGCGGTGTGTGACGGCCAGGAGGACAGCAGCAACGACGGCTCGGACGAGTCGGGCGACGACTGCGTGCGAGCTCATCAGCGGGTTCTTGGCGTAAGGGCTGGTGAGTTGCGGTTAGTTTGCGTGGGGGCTGGCGAGTGGGGGGATGGCGACAGCAGAAGCTATTCAGAGCAGGGGCTAGTGGGTGGGTGGGTAGGACGAGGTGGCGTGCGACGGGCAGGAGTACACCGCCTGCGAGTTTGATTGAGCAGAGTGCGATTAGTCAGGTGAGTGTGGTTGTTGAGTGGGCGTTGGATTGAGCAGAGACTAATCGCTTGTGAGTGGGGATGGGCTTGAGCAAGTGAAACGGAGTCCCACGTGTTGAGTGCATCGTCGTCTCATCTCAACTTCCCCATTCTTCCTCCCACTGCCCTTCCATTTCCATTTCCCGCCCATCTCCCTCCCTTTTGCCAGGCCGCCTGCCCTGCAGATGCGCAGTGCATTGCGCTTCGGAAGTTCTGTGATGGAGTGAACGACTGCAAGAGTGGGTCGGAGGAGGGGGAGGACTTCTGCTCCACTTACAGGTGTCCACGTGGCACCTTCAAGTGCCCCTCCTCGCCACTCATCTGCCGCCCGGGCGCCATGTGCGACGGCAAAAACCACTGCCCTGTAACGAACCCCGACGTGTCTTATACGGAGGATGAAGACCCAGCGATGTGCAGCAGCTTCACCCGACCCATAGGTGTGAACGTCTCGGATTTTCGTGGGTTTCTGTTATGTTCTTTTAATTCCAACATGCCAGGGAAGGCTGTAGTAACAGCAGTAGGCTCAAGGACCCAGTCTGTATCCATCCCCTGCAACCCATCCTTCCCACTCACACCTCTTCTTACACTTCTTGATCCTTGTTCCAAACACCTCCCCTGCCCTCCCTTCTCTGTCCCCCCTCCTCTCCTCACCCTGCGTGTGCATGTGTGGTGCTATCGCGCAGATCCCCGCACAGGCCTTCTCACCAGCGGCGCCACCATTTCTGAGTCAACTCAAAAATCCCCTCTCCCCTGCTCATGCATGTGTTGTGTACCTGTGAAGACCCCCACACAGGCCTTCTCACCAGCGGCGCCACCATCACCCGGGTTGGGGAAGATCTTCTGGGCCCCAAAGAGCTTTGAGTTGACTCTTAACGCCCCTTCCTTTCCTCTTCCTCTCCTCACCCTGCGCGTGCTTGTGTAATGCGACTGCACAGACCCCCGCACGGGCCTTCCCACCAGCGGCGCCACCATCACCCGGGTGGGGGATGGTCCCCTGGGCCCCGGCCAGAGAGGCACGAGCGGAGGAGCTGGGGGAGGGAGTGGTGGAGGGAAGGGTGGGAAGGGTGGGAAAGGCGGAGGGAAGGGGAGTGGTGGTGGGAAGGGGAAGGGGAGTGATGGTGGAAAGGGGAAGGGGGGTGGAGGAAGTGGGGATAATGCAGGGAGTGGAAAGGGGAGTCAAGGAGGTGTTTCAGATGAGGTGAAGAAGCAGGCTGGCAAAGCGAAAGCCGCAGCGGACAAGGTGAAGCAAAAAGTAAAACCGACAGGAATTGTTGTGCCGAAGCGTGGGGGTGGAAATTAAGTTGAACGAGAGATGTTTAAGGATTAGAAGTCTCGTTTTTTGTTAGTGTATTCTAGCTGTTCTCGGGACTTGGTGGAGATATGCACCTGTTGAACGGTAGCTGTAAAATAATATGATTATTCCTGTGTAGATGTATAGAATTGCACTGATTATATTATTGCTTGCTGGTACTGCGTTTGCCTATATCGTTTATTCACCTCACCCCTGGGACCTGGCCCAACCAAGCACAAGTAGCTGGGAGATCACCTGCGAGTCGAACTGGACGTTACGTTCCCACTAACTACTGTACTCTGTTTGTCTCTATCGCATTCTCCCCTGTCGATTCGCGTCGAGTCGCACCTCCAGCAGGGACACCCACTGACCGACATTCCATCCCATTCTGCGCTGGACAGAAACAACACAAAGAGCACGCACATGGACAGGTGGTTTAATCTGGTTCCGTGGGGTTTGTTTTGATGCGGTACGGTCTGTTCTAACTGCCAAACCTTCCCTTCGCCCAGATTCTCGTCTCTTGACCCCAGTCGCACATCCGTCGTACATCGTCGTCGGCTTGTCGTTCAATGTCAGGTGTACTGTCGCAAATTCGCAACCATTGCACTCCAGTGCAGTGCGCCATCAGCCAAATGGCCTCCGCTTTCCCTGGTCGAGTTTTTCGTTTCGGGGCTTCACCCGGGCTTCGACAAAGACCCTACATACACACCAATTAACTACGGCGCGCAATGACGATGCGTCCCTAACATACTCGTACCAGAGGCTCCCGACCAGCCGCGCTCGTTCGAGAAATGCTCATGGTTGCCAGTCGTTTCGCGAGTCGATAATGAGTTTCGTTCACCCAACGGCGTCTGTAAAAGCCGTCGGTCGAAGCCACCCGAGTTGCGAGACGGCTCAGACCGTGTAACCAACTTCTGCGACAGTGGAGAAGAGGTTACTCTCGCCAAATTTCGTTCGCGAATTTCGTTCGCCAAATGACGTCCTTAGCTTTCGTGGGTCCAGGAGACGCGCGCCTCGACAACAGAGCAGTCGACGACAGGGCAAGGGACGAGAGGGCAGGAGATACGTGTTGCTCGAATTGTCAAGGCGGCTCGACTCGCCGCTGTTGCCGGGAACGCACTTGCTCTCGTTGTCCAGGGAATGCGACTTATTCAATGACAAGTTCTTCCCTTTGGGCCACCTTCACTCATGGTTCGAATTGTCGTCAACTTTTGCAAAGCAGGGACTGCGGTGATTCCGCTGGGCTTCGCAACAGTAACCCCCTCTACAGTGACTATAACGAGCGTTGCTACACCCCCTCGACAGCTGTAGGTGACGACCTTTTCCGAGCCGACCCTGTGACAGTCGGGGATGTGACAATAGCGTGCGGCTGGGAACCGCTTCCCAACAGGAGCAGCCCGCAAAACGCAGAGTCTTGCTGGACCAAACGGGTCAATCAAAAGAGGACAGGTGGGCTGCGGAGGCCTTACTTCCATCAACACGCGGAGTCTTGCCGGACCAAGACTGTTGAGACGGTCGCTTCCCAACAGTCTTGCTGGACCAAACGGGTCAGACTGTTGAGACGGTTGGGCCGGCTACAATCGCAGCAGTCGCGGCCGCTACAGCCACAGCAGTCGCGGCCGCTACAGCCACAGCAGTCGCAGCCGCCTCCCCTCTTGAGAATAACGTTCTCTTCCTTCCTAACTGCAGTCTCTCCGCGTCATCCGCCGCATTCCACGCCCGGCTTCCTCGCACATTCTATCCGCGCACTCCTCGTCTTCCTGCTTCTCCTCTCCGTCCCCCCCCCGTTCCGCTCCCCCTCCCCTTCCCCCTTCCCCTTCTCCGACCCCCTTTTCTCCGCCTCCCCCTTCTCCCCCGCCCCGCTCATGGCGTGGGCGCAAGCGGACTTCCCCTCGATCATCTCCGCGCCCCCGCCGTGCCCGCGCGGGCAGCGGCGGTGCTACGGCGCGCCGGTAGCGGTCCCGGGCGGGGACGGGGCGCGGATAACGGCCATGCGGACAACGGCGAGCAGCGCGCACACCTCCACCACCAGCAGCAGTACCACCAGCAGCAGCAGCAGCAGCAGCACCGCCGCAAGCAGCGGTAGCGGTGGCAGCAGCGGGAGCAAGATTAGCAGCAGCAGCAGCAGCAGTAGTAACAGTGACAGTAGCGAGGGGCCGGGAGGCACGTGCGTGGATGAGGCCTCCGCGTGTCCCGCGCCCTGCATGGCGGGGCAGACGGCGTGCTCTGACGGCAGCGCGTGCTTCAGCACGTGGATGACGTGTGACGGCCACGTGGACTGCGCTGACGGGTCGGACGAGAATGACGTGGCGTGTGCGGGGAAGACGCCACCGCAGGATGGGGCGGGGGAGGAAGAGGGGGAGGCGGAGGGAGCGGGGGAGGCCGAGGGGGAGGGGGAGGGGGAAGCAGAGGAGGTAAGCGATTCTGGCAGCGATACTGATGGAAACATCTCAGAAACACAAAACGAGCCAGCCGCCTGCCCGCCCGGATTCATCTCCTGCCCCTCCTCCCCCGCCTCCTCATCTGCTCTCTCCTGTATGAAGGGTGCTCTCTGTGATGGCGTCAACGACTGTCCCGTGGAAATCGATCCCTTTGCTTCCTCCTCCGCCCTCTCCGCCTCCTCCTTCGCTTCCCCCACGCTCCCGTATTCCATTGACGAACACCCCCTTTTCTGCAGCTTTTTCACCTGCCCGCCAGGCTACCGGAAATGTTTGAACGGGTATGTTTGCGTGAGCGAGAAGATGTGGTGCGACGGCGTGAACGACTGCCCGAGTGTAGACCTGGTGACCGGAAAAGATATGTCAGTTAGAGAGGCGGCCAAGGTGATGGTAGCAGTGCTAGAAGCAGCTGCAGCCGCAAGAGCAGCAGGTTTTGCCTCTGGCAGTAAATCAACTGCTCCTAACGGGGATGTTGCTAAGATCGGAGCGGCTTATAAAGGAGCGACACCTGCAGCTTATACGGAGGATGAGAACCCTTCAATGTGCGCAAAGCACGTGTGCGCTGAGGGTACGATGCGGTGCGCAGTGAACAGTAAATGCTTAGATGCCGCCCGGTGGTGCGACGGCATCATCGACTGCCCCGTTACCAAAAAAGGAAACGTTACCATAAAGGCCAGCCTGAGCAGCAGCAGCAGCAGCAGTGGGAAGAGGGGCGCGGCAGCAGCAGCTGTGGTGGTAACCGGAGAGGATGAGGATCCGGGTGTGTGTGCGAGGTGGAGCTGCCCTGATTGGGGCAGCAAGTGCAGCAACGGCGTGCAGTGTGTGGCTCGCGAGCGATGGTGTGACGGCGTCTCTGACTGCCTCCCTGCTTCCTCCTCCTCCCTCCCCTCCTCCTCCCTCCTCCTCCTCCTCCTCCTCCTCCTCCTCCTCCTCCTCCTCCTCCTCCTCCTCCTCCTCCTCCTCCTCCTCCTCCTCCTCCTCCTCCTCCTCCTCCTCCTCCTCCTCCTCCTCGGCAGCATCATCTTCAGCCCAGGAGCCATTCAACGATGAGGATCGCGCCATGTGTGCGGCGCTGGTGTGCCCCGAGGGCCAGCGGCGCTGCCGCAACGGCTGGCAGTGCCTGGCGGAGCGCCGGTGGTGCGACGGCAGCAGCGACTGCATCCACCCTGACAGCACAAGCAGCAGCAGCAGCAGCAGCAGCAGCAGCAACAGCAGCAGTGCAACTGGTGATAAGCAAAAGCTTGTTCCAGGGGACGAGGACCCTGTCTTCTGCCGCTCCTTCCGCTGCCCCCCTGGCATGGGCAAGTGCCGCACCGGGCTGCAGTGCGTGCCGCTGACACAGGGGGGCGGAATCGACGCGTCCAAGTGCCAAGGTGGGTCTCGTGTGGGCAAAGGAGGGCTGTGTGTGTGTGTCAAATGTTGTTGCTTTTACCGCCCCCCTGGCATGGGCAAGTGCCGCACCGGGCTGCAGTGCGTGCCGCTGATTCAGGGAAGCGGGATTGACGCGTCCAAGTGCCAAGGTACGCTTGAATCACCTATATGTGTTTGATCCTGCTGTGTTACCTGTGGTTGATCATGCTGTGTTACCTGTGGTTGATCATGCTGTGTTACCTGTGTTTGATCATGCTGTGAATGTCCCGGTGATGTTTTTTCAATTAACTCACGCTGCTGTTGAAGTTTGCGTGTGTCCCCCTTCTGCCCTCATTTCCATTTCCATTTCCATTTCCCCATCTTGCTCTCATTCTCACCTCTCCCTCCCCTCTCCTCCCCTCCCCTCTCCTTCCCTTCTGTATCCTCCCTTCCCTTGTCACAGGTGCTGCCACTGACAGTGTTGACCCGCAAGGGGGGCGCAGCAACAGCGACTCGCTATTGGGCCCTGGGGATGAGGCTGCTGACCCGGGCAGCCAAGAAACGGGCGGCAAGAAAAGTGGCAAAGGGAAGGGGAAAGGCGGTGGTGGTGCAAAAGGCGGGGCAGGTGGGGGAGGTGGGGGAGGGGGAAAGGGAGGGAAGAGTGGTGGTGGAGCTTTAAGGAAAGCAGCGGACGCTATTATGAAAGGACTCAAGGGCATGGGAGGGCCGGGCAAAGGCAGGAAAGGGAAAGGCAAGGGGAAAAAGGGATGAGATGAGCAGTGAAATTGGGGGGGAAGAGAAAAAGTGAGGAAAACTGTTTGGTCAAATGAGTGCTGAGGAGTTCTGTGGGTGACAACAGTTTGTGTTTGTTGTTGGGGGACAAGTTGCCCAGAGAGGGATTGATGGTGGAGGCTGGAAGGTGGATGTTGGAGGGGCAATGGTGGAGGCTGGGGATTCGATGGTGGAAGAGTGATGGTGGAGGGGCGATGGTGGCAGGAGAAAAGCGGTACATGGTGTCTGGCCGTACGGGAGGAGTCCTCCCAACTTCCCAAGCTTAGTGCTCCCAACCAATGTGGATTCTACTGGTGGTCGAGAGTCAGTGCCACACAGAATACGCGTGATTTCATCCATCCGTGTGCCTGCCCATTTGTTTGTTCTTTTGTTCATTATTTCATTCTTGCATTGAGGCACTACTGCGCATGTTTCAGTACATTTCCTGCACTCCATCCCATTTATGGTAGTAAAGCTCACGCTACTGGTACGCCATGGACTGGCTCGCAATAAATGAGAGTGACATTTTTCCAGGTTTTATCTGTATTGCAACTTTTTCTCCCCGTGTTTTTCCCTTGCAATGTGGGTGGAGGCACACATATTCTTCTCGTGCATGCAGGTACTTAATAATTGATGCTTCAAACATTACAAGGAACGAGAAAAGACATAGGCAGTTGTAACCGCATACAGGCAGTATGTTATAGCATCATATTCATGTGGTTATGGCGAAGATTGACGAAAAGGTTACACGAATGGGTGTTGTGTTGTGATGTGCTGAGACTTCATTTGTCATGGCTGCTTCAAAAATCTCTTGGCGAGGGAACTATCTCACAAGCAAAATCGTCGATCTCCAGTGGCTGAACAGCTGTCTGTTCGCAACGTCTTATAACTCGACACGTGGCGCGCTTCTTCCGTAAAGAGTAACATCTGGACTTCCACGGTCGTTCGCCGTCCAATAGTAGATACTGTAACCCGTACGATAATTTTTGATTTGACCAATCCAGCGCTGCTCCCGTGTGCAGACCAATCCGAAGCCGCTGGTGTGCTGCCGCTGATCCTTGTCAGCCTCTCGTGCCCTCCAGCTGTCCCTCCCTGGTGTGGTAAGTTGGCCTGGCCTCCCTTTCTTCTCCTCTGCCTCCATTTCTCCCTGCTTGACCATTGGAAGAAGCTGAAATCTGAGAAGCCATAGATATTGCCGCTCGGATTAGTCGACTGTTGCTGCGGGCTGGTCTTTGCGTGACTGTTGCTGCGGGCTGGTCTTTGCGTGCCCACTCTCCTCAAGTCGAGCGTTTAGCAACCCCTGCGTTGCGTTATTTTCATCAGGCGCGAAGCTGCTCGAATCTCCAGGTGGGTCTGGCGGAACTCTGGCGGAACTCGTTTTTGAGGAATTTAGAAAACGAATTGCAATGAGCGAAGTTGCTCAGGTTCATCCTCGCCATCTCTCCAGGTGGGTTTGGTGTTCCGACATTCTCGTGAAGTCCGCGTTTCGAAACTGGGACTTGTCGTAGACGCTCGTGGGGTACGTTAGCCGATTACCCGTAGCGAACGAGAGTAAGGAAAGAAGGGCTCGCACTCTGGAGCCGGCCATAAGCAGATGTGATTTCCTGGTTCGCCTCCCACAACCATCGTACTGCACAGGACCACATTCTGCTAGTTCATTCCAGCCTTGGGAATGTTACAAACACATCTTCTGAAAACTGCCAAATAACCAGACAACACTGCGTATTGCCTCCGTCCTCCTCGCAGGCTGCCAACGACGCTCGACCGAAGCCAGGTCTCAGTCAGAGCGAGCTCAAACGCCCCCAAGACTACCATGGTACGCTTATGGTTCACATCGTTCCGGATTCCATAACTTCCAGCCTCATTCATTGTTTCGCGACCAATCAGCTGCGCCTCTCGGCCTAGCTGGAATGCGGACATATCGTTTTTAGGAGCCTCAAAAGTGGAATCCCGAGAGTGTTTTCCTGGAAGCTGCAGTCATTCTGACAACTGGTCCAGAACTTGATTTAGTCTCTCAGGATTTCGTTTTCCTTTCTTCCGGATCTCTGCTCTGTTCCTTTCGCTCCTTCCCTTGCAGGCCGCCACTGCGACTGCGAGCAAGGCGGTCATCAGCGAATCAGCTGCATGGAGCGGCCTCAAGGTACGAGTTGTTTGAGTCGACTCAAACACACATGGAGCGGTCTAAAGGTGCGAGCTTTAAGGCGCCTCACGAATTATCGGTTGCAGCATTGGCTCACCCCATGGATCAAGGTCCTCTTTATTTTAGAGGCGCCTCAAAAGGCGATTTTTGAGGCGCCTCAAAAATCTAGAGGCGCCTAAAAAATCAGCATTGGCTCACCCCATGGATAAGGGTCCTCTTTCTCACCTCAAGGCTCAAAGTCCTGCCTCTCCCCTCCAATCTCGAGGTCCTATAACATTTGAATGAGCATATTCTTAGGTTTTATTATGCACGTGAAGATCCACGTTTCTCTCACACATTCTGACATTGACGTTTTTTTGTGAATTTCAGAAAATGCCCGTGACTCGTGTCGCTGCCTCGCAAAAACTTGTCGCTCGTTCTCCTGCCAGATCAACAGTTTCCGTTCGTGGTACGTGCATACATAAGGGACTTCTTCAAACAAGCTGATTCTGTATTCCTGTCCTTATATCTGGTCCGTAGCATTCCCAGTGTCATCTAGTCACCCAACAAGAAATCACTTTTACTTCTGAAGCCATCTCAGATCCATTTTTTTTTTTGCTTCAATCCCATGTTCCTGCAGCTGCTGCAGCTGCTCCCACGCATTTCCTCCATATTGACGACTTCGATAAGGATACCATCCTGCACATCCTCAACCGCGCCAAGGAAGTTAAAGCGATTATAAAGTCTGGCGATCGTTCGTACCAGCCCCTTAAGGTGAGTTAGACTGTATAGTTGTAAGCGTTTTTGGTTGTTCTCAGAGACACCTGAAACAAGGTTGACTTTTAGAAAACTAAAAAGGCATTCTCGAACAAACCAAGGAAATGAAAGCGATTGCTAAGTCCTGTGATCGCTCCATCCAACCTCTCAAGCTCACTCATCCTAGTAGGGAAATGAGTGTTTTGAGACGTCTCAAAACAGGGAAATGATACATATACTGCATGTGCACACGTGGAGGTCAAGTGGAGATTAAATGAAGGTAAATAACTTCCGAATCATGTAACTGCAATGCTTGACCGTCAACCTTTCCCCCTTGCCCCCTTCGCCCCCCACTTTCGCCAACTTCAGCTGCCCGACCCCCTTCCGTTTCCCCCTCCCCTCCGCCTAACCTGTCACTCCATATACACGACCCCTTACTCCCCCCTCCCCCGTCTGTCACACCATGACTACGACCTTCTCGAAGCCCTCCATGCGCACCGCGCATGAGCTTCGAGTCGGGCCTCAAAGCGGGGTTACACCATCTGCTCTTTCTTCTGATCATGTGTGCTCTCCCTCCCCTCCTCTCCCCCCCTCCACAAGGTCACATCACACCATGTAGATGATCTCACCAAGCCGTCCATGTGCTTCGAGTTGGTCCTTCACGGGTTTCACCATGTGTTATCATCTCCCCCCCTTCTTTTGCATCCCCTCATTCCCACCCCCTCTTTCAGGGTCACACCATGTCAATGATTTTCACCAAGCCATCCATGCGCACGCGAGTGGGCTTCGACACCATCCACCCAGGCACCAACTCACCTGCTCTCCCCCATCGCTGCTTCCAATGCCTCCCCTCCCTATTCCCCTCCTTCCGCCCTCCTGACAAACCCCCCCAATCTCCCCCCACCCCAACCCCTCCCCCCCCCCCCCCCCCCCCCCCCCTCTCCCCACCAGGGTCACACCATGTCGATGATATTCACCAAGCCCTCAATGCGCACACGCGTGAGCTTCGAGTCGGGCTTCTTCCTGCTGGGCGGCCACGCGCTCTACCTGGGCCCCGACACCATCCAGCTGGGCAAGCGCGAGGAGACGAGGGACATCAGCCGTGTGATCAGCGGGTACAACGACATCATCATGGCCCGCCTCTTCGCACACCAGGTAGACACGTCTGCTATGGCACAGCACACGATTTGCGCGCCAGCCAGGCACCTTGAGCACTCTTTGTTGGATTTGGGGCGTCTCACGAGGGACATCAGCCGCGTCATCAGCCAGCGGGTACAACGATGTCATCATGGCCCGCCTGTAGGCACACCAGGTATGGTATGGTAGGGTAGGGTAGGCACATCAGGTACCCTTGTGTCATTTGAGGCGCCACAAAAGACACCATGCAGCTGGGTGACCGCGAGGAGACGAGGGACATCAGCCGTGTGATCAGCGGATACAATGACATCATCATAGCTCGGCTCTTTGCTCTAGGAATACATCTCTCACACTATACTCTACACACCAGGTATGGTCTGGCACTGGCACACTCTTCTCTACACACCAGGTATGTGTCTCACGCATTCTTCTTTGCTTGATGGTTCTTTTCTGGTGCTCCTGCTGCCGCCTACCTTTCCCCATTCCCTCAGGACGTGCTAGATTCGGCTTGAGCACCCCCTTGGTGAAAGAGTGCTGATGGATTTCAGCGCTCAGGTTCAGGCTTGCTCAGCTCAGAGAGTGAACTGGCAAGCCTGACTGGCAAGCCTGAGTGATAAGCCCGACCAACAAGCCCCCCTCTTCTCCCCACTCCTTTCCATTACCTCCTCATGACATTCTTGATCTGGCCAAGTACTTGAGCATTCTCCTGTGTTGAACTCGACTCTGCTCCTCCTCCTCCTTCCCACTGCCACTCTCATTCCAACCACCCCTTTTCTTCCTTGCCTTCCCGGTCCTTGTCACCCCCATCCCCCGCAGGACATTCTCGACCTGGCCAAGTACTCGAGCATCCCCGTGGTGAACGGGCTGACGGACTACAACCACCCGTGCCAGATCATGGCAGATGCGCTCACCATCATTGAACACCTGGGGCAGATCGAGGGCATGAAGGTGAGTGAGGTGAAGGTGAGAGGATTGATGCGCAATGAGGACGTGGGAAGTGGTTCAGGTAGGCAACGAGATAAGACGGTTTACAACAACCACCCGTGCCAGATCATGGCTGATGCTCTCACCATCATTGAACCCCTGGGGCAGATCGAGGGAATGAAGGTGCGATGGGTGATGAGCTATAAGAACTTGCAATGGGCGTGTGGAATGGGAATGGGGGTAGGTGGGCTATAGGCTGGGAGCACCCGTGCCAGATGATGGCAGATGCTCTCACCATCATTGAACACCTGGGGCAGAAGGTGCGATGAGCAATGAGAGATGAGAGATGAGCACTTGCAACAGGCGCGTCGAATGGTAACAGGGGTACGTAGGTTATGGGACTACAACCTCCTGTGCCGGATCATGGCGGATGCTCTCACCAAATCATGCAGTACCATCGCATTTGCATGGCACCACCCTCTCCCAACCTGCCACAGGTGGCCCATGTGGGCGATGGGAACAACATAGTGCACAGCTGGCCGCGCCTGGCGGCAGTCATCCCCATGCACTTGGTGTGCTTCCTCCCCTCTTCCACATCCACTCTCCCACGCAACCCCAACTCCATCCACTCCCTCATGCCACCCACAGGTGGCCTATGTGGGTGATGGCAACAACATTGTGCACAGCTGGCTGCGTCTAGCCGCAGTCATCCCCATGCACTTCGTGAGCGTCTGCCCCAAGGGGTTTGAGCCCGATGCCGCCACAGTGGAGCGCGCGAGAGCAGCCGGGGTCAGCACGATAGAGATCACGAATGACCCTGTGGAGGGGGTGAAGGGCAGCAACGTGGTGTACACGGACGTGTGGGCGAGCATGGGGTATAAGGAGGAGGCTGAGACACGGAAAAAGACTTTCCAGGGCTTCCAGGTGAGGGGTGGGGGTGGAAAGGGGGTGGGGATGGGGAGGGAAGGGAGGGGAGGGGACCGGAGGGGAGGAGAACAAGGGAAGAGACAGAGAACAAGTGAGTGAGGGAGGGAGGGTGGGGAAAGGGGCAGCACGATAGATAGAGATCACAAATGATCCTGTGGAGGGGGTGAAGGGGAGCAACATGGTGTACACGGACAGTGGATATTCCTTGTTTGATGGTTCCCTTCCCTTCCACCTACTGAAAAATCTCTCATCCCCTTGACCCGACGATTGTTTGCAGGTGGATGAGGCAATGATGGCGCGGGCTGGCAAGGACTGTCTGTTTATGCACTGCCTACCAGCGGAGAGGGGGGTGGAGGTGTCAGATGGGGTTATGGAAGCTCCTTACTCCATTGTTTTCCCCCAAGCTGAAAACCGCATGCATGCACAAAATGCTATCATGCTGCATTGCCTGGGGAAGTAGAATCTAGTGTCCCCTATTTTCAAAAATCGGATATTTCCGGATAAGGGTAGAATCACTGTTAATTATTTTAGGGAAACATCGCTAGAATGTTCTTGCTATGTTCAAGTCGAATATGAATTTTGTAGGATCTAGCCTGCCCATAAGCATATGAAAATGCATTTCAGGTTTGAAACTACAATTAAGGTAATCTTTGTTGTAGATGGATTGAGAAAAACAAGACTAGTAACGTCACTTGATTTTCTACATTTGCACACCAGTGTTTCTTACCTCGATAGTGTCGTTCGCTCAATCATTTCCGCAACAGCCAGCATCCCATGGATCTTTTCCTTGTTTCCTTCCACGTGTATTGCAGCCGAAGTTTCCCGCCAATTTTCTCGGACACGTCAGCTCACTTGTCCCCTTCCCCTTCTCCTTCCGCGCGTCGCTCGCCCCCCATCACACAACACCTGCCTGCAACAACACCTGTCGCTCGCCCTCCTGCCCCTTGTAAAGCTTCTCCCGTTCGCCCGCATGCTTCAACTTTCATTCTTGACTTTGAACCATCAACGAGGTAGGCAGGATTCACACCACACCCAGCTCACACCAACGACACCCTTGGGCCCTCAGTTTCCCTTCGCATCGCCGCACGGCCTTGCCTTTCCTCCCACAGCGTTGCCTTTCCTCCCTCCCCGCGTCGTCTGCTTTCCGATCCGCCCGTTCCAAGCAAATTTCGTCGCTACCAAATCGTCTTCTCCAGATCTTCTCACTTGAATAGCTCTCTCCCCACCGAATCGCCTCTCCCGGTCTCTCGGCGGTCGGCGCGATGGTGCTCGGGCAGCTTCAGGCGAAATATCAGGAGATTGAGGGGCGCGCCAAGGCGTGGGTCGCGCGCCAGCCGCCGCCCGTGGAAGTGGCGATCGTGGCGGCGGCGAGCGCGCTGCAGGGCGGCGCGATCGGCGCGATGATGGGGAGCCTGACGTCGGAGGCGGCCGGCAGCATGCCGTCGCCGGCCACCATGCCGGGAATGACGCCGGAGGCCGCGGCGTCGATGAAGCAAATGCAGGTGCGTCGCGAGCTCGGTCGAGTGCGGTTGGATAGTTTCCTGGCGGCTTCGACGTGCAAGCGAGTCGCTCATTCGCTCTATGATAACGGATCTTGGATCGCCGACTGTTATTGGAGGAGCGACGCGGAGAAGTTGGGCCTTGAGAAGCCAGATCCGGATTTTGCGCAGAGTTGTGTCCGGCTTTAAGAGGCCAGGAGCAGCGTGGCTCTAAGTCGACTCACATGCAGCCTCTTAAGCTCGTGGCGCCTTGCGCGTTGGTGCAACTTCGCGTCTTCATAAGGTCAACTGTTTCGGGTTCGGTACCTTGCCTTGTTGCTCATTCGGACTGCGGATGACGGAGCCGCATTGATGACAAAACCCGTTGACGTGTCGCCTCGTGGTTGGTCCGGATCCACCGGTTCGGATCCACCGGTTCGGATTCACCGGTTTTCGCAAATCTGAAATAAATTAATGCACAAAAAACTTGCACAGAACCAACGATGATCCCGCGAACACTACCGCCCTTCCATAACGCAGCGGCGCTACCGCTGCCCGCCGTCGATCACATCGCTAACCCCTGAACCTTCCCCGTCGCACCTACCTGACCAGCGTCGTTCAGAGCTTCAGATATTGCTGTTCAGCCCCACTTAATTCGCTCATCAATGACAAAATCGCCTCCTGTGGATGGGACGAGTTGGTTTTCGAGAGTTCTCAATTATCGACCCACCTCCGCGTGGCCTGGTGTGTGCAGGCGCTCACAGGCGGCCCGTGGACGCAGGCGCGAAACTTCGCGGTGATGACGGGTGTGAATGCGGGCATCACGGCCGCCATGAAGCGCGCCCGCGGCGGCGTCGAGGACCTGCAGACGAGGTGAGCGGTGGGATGCGGTGGAGGTGGGCAAGGGGGTAGGTGCCGCGGTGGGTGATTAGGAGAGGACATGCAGACGAGGTCCGGGGTGAGAATGGGTGATGGTGGGTAAGGGGGTTGGCGACGAGGTGGGAGGGGACCGAGGTGAGAGGTGGGGTGCAGGTGAGAGGTGGTGCAGGCAAGGTGCGGGAGGGTTGGGGTCGTGGTAGATAAGGGAAGAGGGTGCAGTTGCACACGAGAAGAAACACAAACAGAGTTGACTGGCTAGTTGACTCCCAATCGGGCGGGAGGTGGGAAGGCAAGAAACGAGAAAGAACGGAGCAAGCAGTCTGTTGTGCCATGCGAGGAACCGAGGGAAACGAGGAAGAGGCAGGCATAGAGCATGGCGGTCGATGATGGGGTGAGAGGGGCAGGATGGGTTGAGAGGGGCAGGAGGACGGCAACGAGGCACTGAGGCGTGGCATCGGATTGGACTGATAATTCAAGTGCACTTTTCCATAAGAATCCACCAGCCTGCAATGCTCTTTTCTTCTCCCTCCTTCCGCCCTTCCTCCCTCGCCCCTCGCCCCTCGCCCCTCGCCCCTCGCCCCTCGCCCCCATCCCTTGACTCCCCTCTCCATACCTCCCCTCTCCATACCTCCCCTCTCCATACCTCTCCTCTCCATACCACCCTTTCCCCCACCACTCTCCCGCCAGTCCCATGCCCTGAATTCCAGCTCCTTACCTTACCCAACCCCACCTCTCTAGTCAACCCCCCTTCGCCTCACCACCCCCTCGCCTCAATCCCCCGTCGCCTCATCCCCTCTACGCCTCACCCACCCTTCCCTGATCGCAGAGCGGTGGCAGCGTTTGGGTCGGGGAAAAGTATTTTCGGTGGTGAGCGGGGTGTGCTTTGAGTCGACTCGAAAGTCAACTCTCTTATAGCATTTCCCCCCACCTCTCTCCCGTCGTTTTCTCCCCTGTTATCAGCGCGGTGGCAGCGTTTGGGTCAAGGGTGGCGTTCTGGGTGGTGAGCGGGGTGGGTGGGTGGGTGGGCCCCCGAGCTCTGCGCGCCAGATCCTTACCGTACCTAACCGCCCACATCCCCATTCGCGTACCGCCCTCTCTCCCCTCCCCTGCCCGCAGCGCCGTGGCGGCGTTTGGGTCAGGGATAGCGTTTTCAGTGGTGAGCGGGGTGGGCGGGCCGGCGGGCAATGCGGTGCTGAATGCTCTCTCCACGGGCGTTGGCTTCGCCATCTTCCAAGGGGCCTTCTTCCAGGTAAGCGCATGTGGGTTGTGTTGTGGGGCGAGGGAGAGGGAGAGTGTGTGCGTGTGTGTGACTATGTATGTGAGTGATTGACGCACTCTCCACAGGCGTTGGCTTCGCCATCTTCCAAGGGGCATTCTCCCAGGTGCGTGGCTGCTGAGAGTGGGGGGGGGAGGTAGCGTGTGTGGATGCGAGCGAGTGAGTGAGTGAGTGAGTGAGTGAGTGAGTGCTTGAGTGAGTGAGTGGGTGAGTGAGCGTGCTCTTTATGGGCGTCGGTTTCGCCATCTTCCAAGGGGCCTTCTTCCAGGTAAGTGCATGTGGACCAGTGCGTGTGTGTGTGTGTGGGGGGGGGGGGAAAGGGGGGAGGGTGGGGTGTGGGTAAATGAGTAGGTGGGTTTGGGGGGGAAGGGTGTGGGTGTGTGGGTGTATGTGGGTGGGGGAGGGGGAGAGGAGAGATATGTGCGCTTGTGGTGTGGGAGGGGGAGGGCGTGTGGGTGGATAAAAGGAGTGTGGCTATGCACACACCCCCTCTTCCCCTCCCTTCTCCCTCCCCTTCTCTCCCATTCATTCGCCGCTGGGCAAGGTGTCTCAGACAAGTACAGGACAACCAACCTCTATGCACAACCCTCCCTCCCCTCTCCCCTCCCCTCTCCCCTCCCCTCTCCATTCCCCTCTCCCCTCCCCTCTCCCCTCCCCTCTCCCCTCCCCACCGCTCTCTGGCGTTTTTCAGGCGATGGTGACACAGCCAGGCAAACCGCTATGCACACACACTCTCCTTCCCCACTGTCCACCCCTCCCCTGAGCAAAGCTGGCCAAGGCATTTTCAGGCGAGGGCGACGCGGCGCCATCAGAGTACATGGAGGCGAAGGCAATGGTGCAGGCAAACCCCCTCCGTTGCCACATCCCATGCATACACACACTCCTCGCTGCCCCTTCTTCCACCCCTTCTCTCCCCTTGTTTCCCATTCCCATACAGCTCGGCAGGGGAGGGCGACGCGGCACCATCAGAGTAAATGGAGTCAAAGACAATGCTGCAGGAGCTGGGGCTGGAGCTGGCCTTGGTGCGGAGCAACAAGCCCCTATGAACTTACCCTTCCCCCCCCACCCCCTCCCCACCCCCCTCCTCCCTCCTCTCCGCCACTCATCCCCCCCCACCCACCCCCCCCCCCGGTGCTTGCAGCTGGGCAAGGCATTCTCAGGTGAAGGCGACGCAGCACCATCAGAGTACATGGAGTCGAAGGCCATGCTGCAGGAGCTGGGACTGGGCAAGTACGAGAAGAACTTCAAAAAGGGGCTGCTCACTGACCGCACGCTGCCACTGCTGAACGACAGGTACGCAGGTCGTCACTCACTCGCACTCCAGATGCGACCCCTCTGACAGGTGATGCTGAATGATTGGACGGTGGATGATGCTCTAGGGACAGGTGCTGTAGGAGCTGGGGCTGGGTAAGTACGAGAAGAACTTCAACAAGGGATTGCTCACTGACCGCACACTGCCGCTGATCAATGACAGATGGGCGGGTGGGTCATCAGTCAGCGGCAGCTTGGCTGTTTGAAGCTTAGGGCGTGGACGGTAAAATCCCTTGTTTGAAGAGTTCCACGCCCTTAAGACCAAAGAGGTCTCCTTGAATCGTGCCTGGGTGAGGCAACTGAGTTGACCTGGGCGAGGCAACTGAGTTGACCTGGGCGAGGCAACTGAGTTGACCTGGGCGAGGCAACTGAGTTGACTTCAACCGCAGTGCTTCAAACGAGGGACCATTTGGTCCTACATGCTGTAATCTGGGTCCATGCTTTGATCTCATAAACGCCCCTCTCATCCGCTCGATCCCTCAACTTATCATCGGAGATTTGAGATGTCACAACACCACGGGATACCAACACCCACCCACCTGCCTCTCTTTCCCTGCCTCTCTTTCCCTGCCTCTCTTTCCCTGCCTCTCTTTCCCTGCCTCTCTTCCCCTGCCTCTCTTCCCCTGCCTCTCTTCCCCTGCCTCTCTTCCCCTGCCTCTCTTTCCCTGCCTCTCTTCCCCTGCCTCTCTTCCCCTGCCTCTCTTCCCCTGCCTCTCTTCCCCTGCCTCTCTTCCCCTGCCTCTCTTCCCCTGCCTCTCTTCCCCTGCCTCTCTTCCCCTGCCTCTCTTCCCCTGCCTCTCTTCCCCTGCCTCTCTTCCCCTGCCTCTCTTCCCCTGCCTCTCTTCCCCTGCCTCTCTTCCCCTGCCTCTCTTCCCCTGCTTCTCTTCCCCTGCCTCTCTTCCCCTGCCTCTCTTCCCCTGCCTCTCTTCCCCTGCCTCTCTTCCCCTGCCTCTCTTCCCCTGCCTCTCTTCCCCTGCCTCTCCACCTGTCTGCCCTCACACAGTGCACTGCAGGAGGTGAAGGTCTCGCCCGACCGTCGCTTGATTATTCTCAACCACATCGGGGATATGAGGCATCTTAACACCGAATCCTGATTCCTATGATTCCTCCTTCCTTGCCTCTCATGTCCTGCCTCTCCTCCCTCTTGCCCTCACTCAGTGCACTGCAGGAGGTCAAGATCCCTCCCGGCCCTCGCTTGATCATCCTCAACCACATTCAAAGGTACCGTGCGCTGCCTGCTCTCCTTATAGTCACATTCAAAGGTACCGTGCGCTGCCTGCTCTCCTTACAGTCACATTCAAAGGTACCGTGCGCTGCCTGCTCTCCTTATAGTCACATTCAAAGGTACCGTGCACTGCCTGCTCTCCTTGTAGTCACATCCAAAGGTTTCTAGCTCTGCCTTCTCTCCTTGTAGTCACATCCAAAGGTACTGCGCTCTGCCTGGCCTCCTTATAGTCACATCCAAAGGTACCTCACTCTGCTTGCCCTCATTATAGTCACGTCCATAGGTCTTGTTAAAAGTCACATATTTTCTTTTTTCTTCAGTTTAATCTATCTATTCACGCCTGTTCTGACACTCTGCGGCTGCTGTGTGCCCAAAGCTCGACGCCCAATGCCCAATGTCCATTCCCCACTGCCTGACACCCATTGCCGCTCTGCAGATCGCGAAGGTGCTATGGGCAAGCACCCTCGAGTGACAAGCCCAGCAGCAGCAGTGGGGCGATCGGTATTGGCCACCTGGGGGGTCACCTGGACAGCAGCAGCAGCAGCAGCAGCAGCACCAGTGGTGAAAGCGGAGCAATGGTTGCGTCATTCTAAACTAATGTACACCTTTTTTTTTTGCATATTTGTAGTGTAGGTCATTGAGAGAGTTGTGTACCACTAGGTGGTTTAGCTGGTCACACGTGTGGCCATGCTTGTCTAGTCAGTGACCCTCACCCTAGGTGCATGTAGGGTCTTGAAAAGGCGAATAAAGTTTGCGATAAGATTTTTCATCAATCACATCACGCACGCACATGTTCTCCTGAGTGACTATCGTCTACAGTACAGCGTGTGTGTAGTGACAGCATGAACAACTTGCCACGGTTGTTCCCGTCCATTAGAGGGTGGGGTGGGGAGGAAGGTGGGGTGGGGGGAGGAAATCAATTGTCCCACCCCACAACTTCTGTTCTTGTAAGTGAGTGGAATTGGTGGCTACGAAATGAACAGCAATTTCCTACATTCAATGGCCTACCAACAGTGTTTTTTTACATGACCTGGTTGCAACAGACAAGTGCTCCAAGTTCAAACTATAGTAGCCAATGCACGAAAACAGGGTACACCATCACTAGTACCAGCCAGGAGCAGATCTTCTTTAGGTGCATGTTGTAACGACCTGATTCCTTCAACTGAGACAGTAAAGACTATTTTAGAGGCGCCAAAAAAATTCCTTCACATGCGACAGTCAAGGCGGCGACGGGCAGTGTCGGCCTGGAATGGCCTGGATGTAGCCAGCAGTCGGTTCTGTACACACATGCGATACGCTCACTGTTGTTTCCCAACACCCTACCATCCAACAACACCCGGACCCTTTTTGTAGGCTGTTGCCCGGACCCTTTTTATTCGACTCGAAAACTGTCGGGCAACAGCCTACTGGTGAACACACGGACCAGCCGAAAGCACGACTCCCTGCCCTCCCTTCCACTCGCTGCCTCTTGTGTGCGTTTTTCCTGCGTCTTGCCAGGAGTCAGCACCCTACTAGTGACCACCCGGGCCGGCCATTAACAGAGGCCTCTCACTCCCTTCCACTCGCTGCCGTTTCTGTGCGTCTTGAAGTGACCTGACGCCCTCGGATGTGACTGTAAAGGGGGCCGTGCCCGCCCGCAGGTAGGGGGACTTGAAGAGGTGGGCGAATCGCTGGCCCCCGCTCCAGAAGAGGATCACGCGATTGGTGCACGCATGCGCCCAGCTCTCCCCTGATTGGAGGGTGGAATGGGGGGGATTGGGGGATGTGACGCATGGAGTACCAGCGGTAGAGGCCCATGGGTGGTTCACAGTGCAGAGCAAGTGCTGTATAATTGCATGGTGAATGGATAATGCATGGTGCCATATGGTTTTGGGAGAAGCAATGCACTCAAAGTGAGGCAAGGAGAATCAGCATGAGCAGCACATTGACTCACCGAGAGCGGGAACAAGCCGGGACACCTCGCCCTCCACCTTGGTGGTGACTTGATTCACCAGCACCACCTGCATGCCATTGGATTGAATGCCCCATGCCCCATGCCCCATGCCCCATGCCCCATGCCCCATGCTCCATGACCGCATGCCCCATGCTCCATACCCCATGCTCCATGCACATGCCCCATGCACATGACACATGCACATAGCGCATCAGCCAAGTGTTCTAGTCAAGTGCTCTATTGTGAGTTCTAGTCAATGTTTGTGAAACATAGTTGGCCGCTGTAAACCAGATATCGCAAGGGCTCGTACAGAAACGGTGTGCCAGTCAACAAGTGCAAGCAGCTCTCTTGCCTTGAAAAACAACAGGCGGAGAGGCAAGGAGGCAAGGAGGCGAGGAGGCGAGGAGGGTGGACGCATGCGACAGGTACTAGAATGCAGCACACGTATAAGGGGATTGTGCTGCATTTACACGTATAAGGGGATTGTGCTGCATTCACCCGTATAAGGGGATTGTGCTGCATTTACACGTATAAGGGGATTGTGCTGCATTTACACGTATAAGGGGATTGTGCTGCATTTACCCGTATAAGGTGATTGTGCTGCATTTACACGTATAAGGGGACTGTGCTGCATTTACACGTGTAAGGGGATTGTGCTGCATTTACACGTATAAGGGGATTGTGCTGCATTTACACGTATAAGGGGATTGTGCTGCATTTACACGTATAAGGGGATTGTGCTGCATTTACCCGTATAAGGGGATTGTGCTGCATTTACCCGTATAAGGGGATTGTGCTGCATTTACCCTCACACCAACGTTGTGCTCGTCAACAATCGCGAGCAGCTCTCTCACCATGGAGGCATGGAGGCTCGAAGGTAGGTTGATGTAGCACACACACAAGTCATCAAGCATGCAGCACAGGTACTAGAATACACGTCATCCATAAGAAGATTACTCACAGCCACGTTGTGCTTATCGGAAATCGCGAGCAGCTCTCTCGCCATGACCAGCAGGCGCGGAAGTAGGTCAGTGCAGCACACGCACACGTGGCCAAGCATGCATGCAGGCAGGCAGGCAGGCAGGCAGGCGGGCGGGCGGGCGGGCGGGCGGGCGGGCGGGCGGGCGGGCGGGCGGGCGGGCGGGCGGGCGGGCGGGCGGGCGGGCGGGCGGGCGGGCGGGCGGGCGGGCGGGCGGGCAGGCAGGCAGGCAGGCAGGCAGCAGTCTTAAAGATCACAAAACCCTACACGCATGACGTGAGAGCTCACAGCAGCATTGTGCTCGTCAGCGATCGCGAGCAGCTGCCTTTCCATGGAGGCCAGCAGGCAACGAGGCTGGTTCAACGGCCCCCTTCATGCAAGGAGAGCACGAGGTGACTTTTGAGTCGACTCAATAGGAGAGTACTCACGCGCGCACTACGCCCCACTCACATCAACGTTGTGCTCGTCAGCAACGGCGAGCAGCTCCCTTGCCATGGAGACCAGCAGGCGAGGAGGGTGGGAGCATAGGACAGGTACTAGAATAGAATGCAGCACATCCATAAGGAGAGGGCTCACAGCAACGTTGTGCTCATCCGCAATGGCAAGCAGCTCCCTTGCCATGGAGGCCAGCAGGCGCGCGCGCAGACCCATGTCTGTGAAGCCGTGGCGGAAGTGGAATGTCACACTGTCAATCACCACTAGCTTGACCTGTGGTGTGGGTTATGTGGAATAGGATGGAGGGGAGAAGGAGGGAAGAGGGTGAGGAAGTATATGTGAGGGCAGACCCATGTGAGTGAAGCCGTGGCGGAAGTGGAATGTCACACTGTCGATCACCTCTAGCTTCACCTGTGGTGTGGGTTATGTTGAAGGGAAAGGAAGGGCAAGGCAGGGAAAAAGGAAAACAGGTGAGCACACACATGTCCGTGAAGCCGTGGCGGAAAAAATCACTAGCTTCACCTGGAGAAGTATGGTGTGACGCAAGGGAGAAACAGAGAAGTATGGTGTGATGCAAGGGACTTGTCAAGGGAGGACAGGTGGGCTGCAGCGGCCTTACTTCCACCAACTTAAGGAGTTATGGGCGTTTAAAACAACAGAACTAACCCCACGATGATAAAAAGAAAAAATGAAGCCTGCTTAAAAAAGGGAATCCTGTGTTTTAGATAGCCAGTTTGAAAGCTCAGTAAATCAGACTCAGAATAAAAAACTGCGTTATGGTGATTTGAGAGAAAAAGGGGTGTTCCGAGAATTGAACTCGGGACCTCTCGCACCCTAAGCGAGAATCATGCCACTAGACCAAACACCCACGCGATAATACATTGTGCATGATGTTCTGTGGTGATGCATTATACAATCGCAAATTACCCGCCCGTGTGCATTGCTGCTGGTGAACATGCCACCGACACGCAGCACTCCTGCCCAGCGATACCCAAGCAAGCCCAGCACACACCTTGGAGTGTAGAGCAAGCAGGTGCAGCAGAGAGTGCACAAGTGCTGCCTGCTCCGTGTGGTCATACACTCGCAGGTAATGCACCCCTGCCAGTGCTGCTGCTGCCTTGCCACCCACACATGCCAAACCAACCACTACGCACCTTGGGGTGCAGAGCAAGCAGGTGCGGCAGAGAGTGCACGAGAGCAGTCTGCTCCGTGTGGTCATACACTCGCAGGTAATGCACCCCTGCCAGCGCTGCTGCTCTCGACGCCTTCGATGCCACTGCTGCTGACACTGCCCCCTGTGCATTTGGAAACATGTGTTGCTGGGAGCGAGCCTGTTGGTGCTGCTGAAATTGTTGCTGTGAGTGCTGTGAGTGCTGCTGGTGCTGCTGCTGGGGTTGGAATTGCTGGTGGATGGAGGCTTGACCAAGGGCGGTGGCATCTGGGGCAGGTGCATCTATGGCAGCGGCAGCAGCGTTGCAGTGTGCTGCCCAAGCGTCGGCCATCTCTGCTGCTCGTTCCACCATGAAGCTCCCCTCTGTGTCTGGTGGGGACAAGAGATAAAAGAAGAGGCTTGAGGGTGTTTGGTGGACTAAGGGGCAGGCAGGCAGCAGCAGTGCAGTGACCCATGCGTCAGCCTATCTCTGCTGCTCGTTCCACCATGAAGCTCCCCTCTGTGTCTGGTGGGTAAGCGGGAGGATAGAGAAGGGTGTTGAGTGGGGATTTCAGTGTGCTGTGGAGCGCACAGGGCAGAGACATCAGCAAACAGCAGCAGCAGGCAGTGCAGTGAGCTGCCCATGCGTCGGCCATTTCTGCTGCTCGCTCCACCATGCTGCCCAAGTGGAAATATAAAGAGGGATGTGGTATGAGGATGTAAGTGGCCTGTCGAGGGCACAAGGCAGCAGTGGTGCGTGGTAGACAGCAGCAAACAGCAGCAAGGCAGTGCAATGAGCCGCCCATGCGTCGGCCATCTCTGCTGCCCTCTCCACCATGAAGCTCCCTTCTGTGTCTCCAGCACAATGTGGCAGGTGGAAGGATGAGAGACATTGTCAGCCAGTGGTGGAAGGATGAGTGATATTGTCAGCCAGTGGTGGAAGGATGAGTGATATTGTCAGCCAGTGGTGGAAGGATGAGTGATATTGTCAGCCAGTGGTGGAAGGATGAGTGATATTGTCAGCCAGTGCATGCAATGCTTTAGAGTCGACTCACAAGGTGTTATTCGAGCCACCTTAACATACAGCAGGCACTGCCTCTCGAGAGACGTTCCTTGACATACAGCAGCCCAGTGTGGTGGAAGGATGAATGAAAGCGTAAGCAGATTCGACCGAAAGTGCACTAGTACTGATTGAGAAAGAGGCTATCAGCTCACCACTCACCAACGTATACCGCCTCGCCCTCCACACCTCCCAGCACAGCAGGCGTTTGCCCATTGATAGCCAGCTAGCTGGATGCTGCTTCGACTGAGATTGGGTGAACATGCGACTCATCTGGCATGCGGAATGAGAGTGAGGGAAGATGAGCCTCACCGATGTAGACTGCTTCGCCCTCCACCCCTCCCAGCACAGCAGGTGTTTGCACGTTGATTGCCAGCTGCATGCTGCCACGGCGACACACCACCAGCAGTCACACCAAGACTTATATCAGGGCCAGAATGCTAGAGCCGACAGCAAGCAGATGGCTAGAGGGCCGGAACCTATAGGGGCAAACTATCTCCTCAACTCCAAGTCCCCTTGCTGCCAGGGAGACACGCCACCAGCACCAGAACCACAGCGCAATCACCAGATCAGCCGCATCCCATCCCAACTCATCCCGGCCCAGCCTTACCCATCCCATCCCATCCCATCCCATCCAACCCAATCCAGCCCTGACTTACCCCAGCTGTGTCTTGCCAACTCCTGGAGGCCCACCTGGACTCAACAGACGAGGATAAACGACAACAAAGAAACCGGTTGACGTTTTTGAGGCGCCTTGATATTCAACCAAGAGATTGGTCAGGTGGGGGCCCACCTGTAAAGGAACTGGCCAGACTTGACTCGATCTCTCAGTAACGTTTACAGATATCTTAGAAGCATATTCGTAAAAGTTGTTGGCAAGAGAAATGAGAGATCACAGATCATAAATACGAGAAATCTATCTGATAAGATAATAGTAGTAGAAAGTACTTGAACATGTGTGTGGATCAGCTCATGCAGCACCACACCCCTCCCAAACCCACGCATGCTCCATACAACTGTTCCACACACCACCGCATTGCACCACACCCCACTCACATATCTCTGTGAGCTCCTGCAGAACCACAAACCCTCTCAGCTTCGCATCCAATGCAAACGCCCTTCCTCCCTCTCCAAATGCACTCCATACGGTCACACCACGCACCGCAAACCACCACACTGCACACGGCCACACTACACACCACCGCACCCCACACCGCCACAATGCACACCACCGCACTGCACCACACCGCACTCACATATCTCTGTGAGTTCCTGCAGAGCCACACCCCCTCCCAGCATCGCATCCAGCTCAGCACACATCGTCTGCACCCTGCCCCTGCCCCTCTCTGCCTCCAATAACTCCCATGCTGATCGGGCTCCTGCACGCATGCAATGGAAATGCACATGGAATGGGAGAGATGCACATGCACTCAACGCTTCATTCATTCACCACACATCGTCTGCACCCTGCCCCTGCTCCGCCACTAGCAGCTCCCACGCGGATCGAGCCCCTGCACGCATGCAATACACATACATGAGGTCAGTGCTCCCTGCAGCACACATCGTGACGCACTGATGGGGAAAGACACATCATCTGCACAACCCCCTCTGCCCCATTCCATGCGGATCGGGCTCCTGCAAGGAAAATGGAAAAATGATGGACGATCATGGATGGGAATGGGCGGGAAGGAACAGGAACGAACAGGAATGAATGCGAATGAATGGGAAGCATAGGAGTTGTTGGAGGTGCTGTGAATGAATCATCAGATGTGCTGAGAGCTTCAGCAAGTAGGAGGTGGCACTTGTGGGATAAAGCCCACTGACTGCACAGCACATGCAGGCATGTGGACGGGAATGTGGCACAGCGTGTGCGGTGCTCATTCCTGTGGCACATTCCTCAGAGCACGTGTGCGGTGCTCTGCGGAAGAAAGTGATGTGACTTCCGACAGAGTCCCTACGCGCAGCAGCAGACCCTGCTATGCAGAACGCATACTGCAAACCCACCCATACACACCCACCCACACCCCCACACATTTACCTGCGATGCCAGCAGCAGTGGGAATAACGCTCGTCTGAATGCTCCCCGCTGCCACTCGACACACCCACCCACCCACCCACCCACCTCCCCGCACACACCCAACTGCACCCACCCACATCCACCCACATCCACACCCACCTGCACCCACCCACCCACCCACCCACCCACACACACGTACCAGCAATGCCAGCAGCGGTGGGAATGACGCTCGTCTGAATGCTCCCCGCTGCCACTCCCAGCACGTGCTTCGCGTCCTCCAGGGACAGAGACGCATCTGGTATACAAGGGAGGTGGGTGGACGGAGGGAGGGTAGGTGCAGTGACGGCATAGACACAGAGTAGGTAAATAAGCGGAGACGTGCACGCACTTGCTCCCCCGCAGCAAATTCTTAGCGACCTCCAGGTATAGAGACGCATCTGGGGTGAAAGAAGGGAGGGCAGGGTCGAGAGGGTGGAGGGGGATGTTAGAGAATTCTAAAAAACGGCTCACATCTTTCCACGCTTACCTTCCCATGGACTCACCTCGCGAGAGATCCTCCGGTTTGAGCGTGTGGAAATCCGCGGCTGTTAGAAGCCGGCAGCGAGAGAATGACCACAAGTTGAATCGCAGAGGGAATCGCAGAGGGCTTTCACACGCTTAAGCCAGAACGTCCCCTCTTGTATTCATTCTCTCGTACCCGTACACTCACCTCGCGCGAGGTCCTCCGGTTTGAGCGTGTGGAAGTCCGCGACCGTGAGAAAGCCGGCGGCGAGGAGGCGCGAACGGAGCGACGGTGGCAGGGGCAGCGAAACCGTTTCTCGCAGGTCCATTGCGGTGCTAATGGTGTGGAACTTTGCGTGCACGAGTGAATCGCAGTGGGCGGTTTGGGGGGAAGCGGGAAAACGGAGACGGAGGCACGCAGGCGGAAGCAGGCAAGCGGGAGCAGGCAGGCGGAAGAAGGCAGGCGGAAGCAGGCAGGCGGAAGCAGGCAGGCGGAAGCAGGCAGGCGGGAGCAGGCGGGCGGAAGCAGGCAGGCGGAAGCAGGCAGGTGGGCACCGATAGATGCTACTTGCAGCAGGTGATCTGTTGTCAGTCACCGAAAGCCGACATCGAAAAGCTTTACCGAAAGGTCAAATCCCCGCCGCAGAATCTCGAAGTTCGCGACAGCACTTCGCGAAACCAACTATACTTGCTCACGATGCGGATTTCACGACGCGAATCTCGTACGCGAGTGTGTTCTCGCATGAGCAAATTCGGGGTCCATCATAAAAGGCAGAGGAGGGCGCGGAGGGGTGAAACAGAACGCATAAATCGGCAAGCTAGCTTCAAGTGAAAACGCCGAAGGAAAACTCAACGGGCAGCGGCGGAGAGGCCGTGGCGTGACGTAGAAGTTTCACCTCCGCTTCGTTGTTTGAGAAACCGAGCTTGCCGTGCATCGCAGGAATCGCAAAATCGTTTAGTTCAGTGTGGTTGAGTGCAATGCGTCGCGTTCGAAAAGGATTTGCTGGGACCAGTCCAGTACTTGTTAGCTCTGGAGTTATCAAAGCCGAATCAAGTGTGGAATGCTTCTCTTGTTCGGCGAGGAGCCCTGTAACAAGGATTTTCGTTCAAACACCCAAAACAACTTTCATTTCTTCTTCCCGCCATTTTTGAAACTGGTTCCCCATCTAAAGCATTTTGTTGTCGAGGACATGGAAGTTCGTGAATTGTGGAGTTCCCAACGCACTCTTCCCTGGTCTTCCCTGTTTCACCGTCATGATCACCTTGTGTGTTCGGCTCCTGTAGCGAGCTCTCTGCTTGCTGACGCTCTCTCGATAACTTCTTGGACCGCCTAACCAATGAGATGACCGGGCTAGCAGATCAGCTGGAAAGAGGCTCGTCAAGCACCAGCCGAGCTTCGCTTGTAGCGGGCCGAGCTTTCTTGCTCGACAGGCGGATCTACCCACACGGCCGCAGCTCCACGTTGCAAGCCCGCGCACGATTACGATTCGATTTGATACGCCAACAGATAAGACCGCATCAGATGATACGCTCAAGATTCGACGTTGGGACCTTCGATACTATGAGACCGCGCCTCGCCGTTCTGCTGGCCGCCGGCAGGCGTAACTGGACCGGGACGGTGACGGTCGGCGCCAACAATGTCTCCCGTGAAACGTGGCGGAACGTGACTGGGCGATCTGCGGATGTGGGCCGGCGGGAAGATTGCTGGGTTCGCGATAAGGTCAGCAGCAGCATTAGCGACCAAAGTGGAGCTACAGAGCATGATCCCCATAGTGGTAGTCGAAACGTAACCCCTGGCCTTCCGCGCGCTGGTAACCCGCACAGCCCAGATATCGCCGCAACCCCAGAGCCGTTTCGCAGAGCCTTTTCCGCCCCCCGCCGCGCCCCGCCGTCTCTCCCCTCGCCGGCCCCCGCCGTCCGTGTTAAAGCAACGGGAGGGCTTGTAGCGGGTATGACGAGGTTCCAAAGGGGAGTCTGGAGTCGGTCCGCTGCAGCTGCTTCAGAGGAAGAACGGCAGGAAGAGGAAAAGCAGGGGGGGGAGAGGCAGGAGGAGGGGAGGCAGGGAGAGGGGCTCGGGATGAGCGATGATGAGAGGAGAGAAGCTGAGAGGGACGGATCCGAGGCTGGAAGGAGGGAGGATGGACGGGTGGAGGCTGGAAGAAGGGAGGATGGACGGGTGGAGGCTGGAAGGAGGGAGTCCTCTGAAAGTCCACGAGGGATGCAGGGAGTGGTGGTGAACAGGGGCCGAGGGAACATCGTCATACCAGCAGGTAACAAAACCATTGCATCCCTCCCGCTCTAACGGCACGTTCTCCTCTTTCTCTTCCGTGCTGGTTTCGTTCTCTTCTATCGTGCTGGTTTCGTTCTCTTATATCGTGCTGGTTTCGTTCTCTTCTATCGTGCTGGTTTCGTTCTCTTCTATCGTGCTGGTTTCGTTCTCTTATATCGTGCTGGTTTCGTTCTCTTCTATCGTGCTGGTTTCGTTCTCTTCTATCGTGCTGGTTTCGTTCTCTTCTATCGTGCTGGTTTCGTTCTCTTCTATCGTGCTGGTTTCGTGCACGCACGTGGTGCCCCCCCCTTCATTCTTCTACGCATCACAGAGCGTGCTGTAGCTGCATCTGGCGATCATCCACAGCATCCCCTTGCCACTTTTTCTCCTTCTAGCAACTTGCTGATTCTCCTTTCTCCCTCCTCTGCAGAGCGCTGGCAGTACGTGCAGCAGCAGCTGGCAATCATTCGCAGCCAAATACCTCCACCGACGCTCAAATCGCCCCCACCACAGCCACAGTTGGTGTGGCAGAAAACAACGCCATCATCACCATCACCGTCACCATCACCATCACCACCAACACCATCAGCAACCCCATCAATCGATGGGGGAGTGTTTGCAGCAGCAGGAACGCGTCTAGGGAAGGATACCACTCAAGACGACTCTCCTTACAGGAAACCCGGGCTGCTTCGGCCAGAGCAACCAGATCTGGTCCTACCACCAACGGGGAACACAGCAGCGCTGATGACAGGGCAGCAGGATACAGTGAATCTGGACAAGGGCGGCGAGGAGCAGCGCACAGAGGAGTGGTACGCTCTGAGAGCCAACCGGCTGACAGCCAGCGCGTTTGAGAAGGCCGTGGGGTTCTTTCCGGGGGGCCGGCAGCAGTTGTGGGAGGAGAAACTGGGTCTGAGGGCGCCGTTCGCTGGGAATGAGGCGACCGCGTGGGGGCAGGGGAGGGAGGAGGAGGCTCTGAGGGAGTATGAACGGCTGACAGGGGGGCAGGTCGAGCACAGGTCGTTCCAGGTGAGGGCGTGTGTGGTGTAAGGGAGTTGTAGGTAGGTAAGGCAACGATGAACATGCAGTGGGGGCAGGCGAGGGAGGGAAGGCTGTGAGGGAGTATGAATGGCTGACAGGGGGACCCGTGGAGCACAAATCGTTCCAGGTATGGCCGAGCATGGAGTCAGGGAGTTGTAGGTGGGAATGAGGCGACCGCATGGGGGCAGGGGAAGGAGGAGGAGGAGGAGGAGGCCCTGATGGTGTATGAGCGGCTCACAGGCGGGCGCGTGGAGCACAGGTCGTTCCAGGTGAGGCTGTGTGTGGGGCAGGGGAGTTGCGCCTTCTCTGCTTCTCTTCCTTATTTCCGTCTCCGTGCCCGTCCCTCTTCTCCTCATCTTTCTCTCATCCCATCAGATGTACCTGCACCGCACCACAATCCAACCTTCTCCTGCCTCGCTGCTCCCCCCTTACAAACTCCTCTCATCTGAACCTCGGTTCTTTTATTCCTCGCCTCCCTCCCGTTCCACCTCTGTATTCCTTGCCTTCTTCGCTGGCTTCCATATTGGCAAGCACCACGACCCGACCTGTTCTTGCCTCAGTGCGTCTCCCGAGGTCTCCTCCCCTCCGACCCTCCGCGCCACGTTCCTACCTTGCGGCTTTCCCCAAATACCTGAACAATGTCTTATTCGTTGATCGATTGTGCCTGTCTCTCCACCTGCTTCCTTCCCTCTCCTTTTCAGATATTTATAGATTTTGACCCAACCTTCTCATGGCTCGGTGTTTCCCCCGACGGTCTCCTCCCCTTTGACCCTCTCCTTTTCACTCCCTGCCTCCCTACCATCTGACCTCCCTATTCCATGCCCTTCCAGATATACAGGGACTCTGACCCAACCTTCTCCTGGCTCGGTGCTTCCCCCGACGGTCTCCTCCCCTCCGACTCTCTCGCCCTGCACTCCTCCCCTCACTCGCCCGGCGTCCTTGAAATCAAGTGCCCCTGGAACCGTGGTTTACCGCTCTCGGCCGCTCCGTACCCCTCCATACCGCACTATTACATGCCCCAGATCCAAGGCCTGCTAGAAATATTCGACCGAGATTGGCTGGATTTTTTCGTGTGGACGAAAATGGGTGGCAGTGCACTGTTCAGGGTGGAAAGGGACAAGAAGTACTGGGAGTTACTGTTCATGGCATTAGAGGAGTTTTGGTGGGTGCATTTGGTGCCAGCTAAGGAAGCCTTGAGGGAGGGGCAAAAGGAGGAGGAGGTGAGGAGGAGGTTTTATCCAGCACAGGCTCACGTGCTGATGAGGAAGATTAAGACGAGAAGTGAGCAGATTTCGAAGGGGTGCAGAGTGGTGCTAAGGGGTGATGCACAGAAGTAAGGGCGCGTCAACTCCCACCACATTCGCCCGATCGATCCTGCGCAGGATCGTTCTTTGACTGTGTTTAACCAGTTCTGGAAACTTCTGGATGTTAATAGCAAGTTTCCAGTGCGGTGGCCGATCGATATTACACGATCGATCACCGAAATACGGGGGAGTTTGTGCGTCCTAAGGAGTCGATGGCCGCATTCTCATGCGAGTGCCGGAACCATTGGTTTGCAAACATATATTAAATTTAAGCTCGCTTATGATTGTTCCTGCTTATGAATGCGAAATTACTGTATAAACAAACACTACGAGTACTGTATCAAGCAGTCGCTTTGCCACAAGGGTTGACCTCAAGCCAGGGCAGTTGACAAAAAAAATCGAGGACGTGACAAAAATTTGACCCGGTAGCGTCGTTTAGTGGGCCGGGTAGCGCTACCGGGTTTATGTCTCCCCTGCAGCACAGTATCCCAACAACTACAATACACGTACCTGTCAAATAATACGGTATATATGCTATATTTGTGTAGGCTGTAGTGGGGTAGCCAATATGGGGTACAACCGCCCTTAGGGTTTGATACTTGTACCCAATTGTCATTCAATGCATTCATTCCTGCCTAGCATTCTCAACATGGTTTCAGAGCAGTAGGTCCGTAGGACCGTTTCTCTTCGGGCCCACCTACCGATGCGGTTACTGCGCTGCCCCACTTGCCTTGCCTGTCTTGCCTGCGCTGCGCATCACGCGCGCGCCCTGCCTTGCCTGCGCTGCGCTGCCTTTTTTTTTAGCATGCGCGCTGTTTCAGCCGCCCGCGCGCTCACGGCTGCCCCGCGCGCCGCGTCCGCCGCCTGCGCACCCCGCTATGGCCCCGCGCGCCACGCCCGCCGCCTGCCCGCCGCATCTTCAGCCCGCGCGCGGCCTGCTTAGGCCCCGCGCGTCACGTCCGCCGCCCGCGCGGCCTGCTACAGCCCCGCGCGGCGCGCCTACCGCCCGTGTGCAGCCCGCCTAGGCCCCGCGCGTCGCGTCCGCCGCGCGCGCAACGCACTGCTGCCCCACGCTCCGCATCCGCCTGTACCTGCCGTCAGGGTTTAGGGTTTCCGCTGCTTTTCGCGCCGCCCTTGCCTGCCGCCTGTGCCTGCTGCCTGTGTCTGCTGCCTCTACCTGCCGCCTGTGTCTGCAGCCTTTGCCTACTGCCTGTTCCTGCTGCCTTTGCCTGCGCTGCGATCATGGCGACATTAAATGTTCTCGCGTTTGAGCCTGACGGTCGCCCGATAGAGTTTGCCACTTGGCTCGACGATCTGCAGCTGTTTCTTATGACTGATGCCAAAGACGGCGTTTCACTGTTCGATCACGCGTCTGGCACTGCCGTTGCTCCTGCTGACACTGCTCCTGCTCTTGACCGCTCACAGTGGCAGACTCGCGATGCTGCTGTGCGCCTCGCTATTCGCAACCATCTGCCGATCACTGAGCGCGCGCATTTTAGTCAGCACAAGACTGCTAAGGCACTGTATGACGCTGTAGTTGCGCGCTATTCGTCCCCAGCCACTGCAGCCGTAGGTCGTCTCATCCTGCCCTACCTGTTCCCCGACCTGTCCTCGTTTACCACCGCTGAGGACCTCATCTCTCACCTCCGCGCTAGTGACGCCCGCTTTCGTGCCGCTCTTACCAAAGAGTTCCTCGCCACGAACACCCCCCCGCTGTACTTTACCCTCTACATCCTCGTCACCCGCCTCCCTGACACTCTTAGCTCGGTCAGGGACCATTTCCTCGCCAAGGACCCTACCACTATCACTCTAGCCGACTTCGAGCAGCAGCTCCTAGCAGCAGAAAAGAACATCCTCGCTGTAGGTGCTGCTCGTGGCACTCCTCGCACTCCCCTCTTTGAGGGGTGCTCCCCCTCCCCTCTTGCCCCCTCCTACGCCTCTGCTGCTGCTGCAGTCGACCTCCTCGGTGCTGAGAAGGTCGCAGCTGCTTCCGCTCCTAGTGGGAAGCGCGGCGGTACCAGGGGCGGCAAGGGTAGCAGGGGTGGTGGAGGTGGCGAAGGAGGGAGCGGTGGTGGAGGCGGCGGGGGTGGTGGAGGTGGTGGGGGTGGCCGTGGGGGTGGAGGCGGTGGGTGGGGTGGCGGTGGGACCGGGAGCGGTGGAGGTGGCAGCGGCGGTAGTGGGGGAGGAGGGAGCGGTAGTGGCGGTGGAGGTGGGGGCGGGAGTGGGACCGGCCAGAAGGGGAGCTCCAGTGGTGGCCAGGGGCAGCAGCAGCAGCAGCAGTAGCAGCAGCAGCAGCAGCAGCCGCAGCAGCGCCAGACCCCCACTTCCCTGTAGCTCCATGACTGGTATGCCGGGTGTGGGGCGTCTGGGGGTCCTGGTCGCTGCCCCTATGTCATTCGCGCCGGTCCCCGCGCTGGTCGCCCATGCAACGGCTTTCACACTGAGTACCGCTGCTTCGCTCGGCTTAGCGACGCCTGGCGCACCAAGTTTCCTGATGCTACTGAATTCCCCAACTGGGCAGATCTGCTTAGGCGTGATGTTCCTATCTTTGATCTTGACTATGATGCGATTCTTGCTGCCATGTATGCATTGACTGTTAGTGCTGAGGGTGACTGCTACTTGTGTGTCCCACCTGACCCAGGTATAGAGACTGCAGCCCTAGGTGCTAGTGAGTCTGCTCTTTCTGGTACTGCGCCTGCCGAAGCTTTGCACAGCTTCACGCCTGACTCAGGTGCTTCCCGCTGTTTCTTTCACGACAGTACCACAGTCACTCCCCTCTCTGCACCTGTCCCTGTCTCACTGGCTGACCCCTCTGGGGGCCCAGTGCTTGCACGGTCCACTACTGTGCTTCCGTGCCCGGCGGTCCCGTCCGGTGAGCTGTCAGGTCTTCACATCCCCTCGTTCTCTACGAACCTGGTGAGCACCGCTGTCCTTCAGGATCACTGGGTTGACACCTTTACTCCTGGAGGACAGCGGGTGACGCACTGCACGTGCTCTCGAAACGGCCGCCACCTGGCCACGTTCACACGTGCGCCTGGGTCCAGTCTGTACACCGCTGTGTCGCGCGTTCCACCCCTTTGTCTCCTGAGCTGTATGCGTCCGCTCAGGTTGCTACCCAGTGTGAGTGCCGCCGCCTGTCGCACCAGACTCTCCTTTGGCACCACCGCCTTGGTCACCCCTCCCTGCCCCGCCTTCGTAGCATGCACTCCCGTGTCGAAACAAGCTAGGCATAAGTTAGGAACAGAAAGGGAGGATGAACTAGCAAGAATGGGGATACAAATAGCAAACCCTAGAAGGGTTGTACTCGCTACAGAGCACCCCACTACAGGCTAGAGCATAATATTATGACACACCCCCATAGCCAAAGTGGGGTGTAATCAGCAGAGCAAACAAAGCAGTACAAGCTCAGGGTGGATCACGATGTCACCACACATTCTGAGCACAAGCAAGAAGCAATAGTTTAAGGTTCACAATTATGAGCAAAGCTAGAGGCAGTCACAGGGGGCAAGTGAGGAGGAGGAGGGCTGGCGAGAGGAGAGTAGATAGGAGGCGACGACTGAAGCTGCAGACACACGGGCAACAGACGGCTCTGGTGCGACAACGTGGCTACCGGGAATGAGTGCCCCGGAGTACAGGAGTAACAGGCTCCGCGGCTAACATACGCGGCAGGAGCAACGGACCCACAGGCGACGGCGCAACCGGCTCTCTGAGCTACCGGTGGCTAATCGACCCCCGGAATACAGGCGCTGCGGACGACACGACGGCGGCCTCCGCTCAACCTCCTCCAACTGTCCCACACCCCTCGACACACACCCCCTGCTGAACCCCTAGCTCCACTCCCACGGCACCCCCCTTTAAACCCTAACCCTCGGCTCCCACACATCCACCCCCCTCAGCGGCAGCTGCAGCAGTGGGAGACGGAGGAGGAGGAGGAGCAGGGGACGGCGCACACACACGGCACCCCCATAGCTGCCACCCCCACACTCCTCACCCCCAAACCCTAAAAACGGGCGGAACGGGGGAAGGAGCGCGGGGGACGGCGAGGGGGGACGGCGTGACGGGAAATCGGGGGGGGGGGGGGGGGCCGCGGGCGACGGGATCGCGGGGCCGCGGGCGACGGGATCGGGGGGCCGCGGGCGACGGGATCGGGGGGCCGCGGGCGACGGGATCGCGGGGCCGCGGGCGACGGGATCGCAGGGGGGGGGGGGGGGGGGGGGGGGGGGGCCGCGTGCGACGGAATCGAGGGGCCGCGGGCGTCCCCCACGGTAGGAAACCGCCGCGCGCCTCGGGGCGCACGGCGGGGAGAAACCCGCCGCACGCCCCGAGCGCGCGGCGGGATGAAAACTCCGTAAAAAAAAAAATTCGCCGCGCGCGGAGCGCGCGGCAGGAAGGAGGCGTCGCGCGACCAGTAGAACAGCAGCGGAAGCATTTGGTGGTGGGCCCACCCACAGGATCGACCCAGGAGGATCGTCCTGCTCTGATAGCATGTCGAAACAAGCTAGGCAGAAGTTAGGAACAGAAAGAGAGGTTTGAACTAGCAAGAATGGGGATACAAATAGCAAACCCTAGAAGGGTTGTACTCGCTACAGAGCACCCCACTACAGGCTAGAGCATAATATTCTGACATCCCGCTCTCTGGTCTCTGGTCTTCCCAGGTCTCTGCCTGCCCTCCCTCCCTCGCCTGTGCCGCCCTGCATTCCTCCTCGTTCCCTCCCACAGAGGCTCCGCTGCAGACTCTCCACCTGGACGTGTGGGGCCCGGCCCGCGTCCAGGGGCAGGGCCATCAGCGGTACTTCCTGCTGGTCGTCGACGACTACACGCGTTACACCACGGTCTTCCCCTTGCGCAGCAAGGGTCAGGTCCCTGATGTTCTGATCCCCTGGATCCGCGCTGTTCATCTCCAGCTCCGCGAGCGGTTCGAGTCGGACTTTCCTGTCCTGCGTCTGCACTCTAACAGAGGTGGTGAGTTCTCCTCCGACCTCTTGCGAGCCTTCTGTGAGGAGCACGGCATCCGCCAGTCGTTCACGCTTCCG